ACATGTCTTTTAAGATCTTCGACATTTATAAATTCAGGACAACCACGACTGGCGTAGTCGCAGTTGATCTTTAACTTTGAAATCACGTTATTTATAACACGCGCTGGATGAAGCGTAGCTACACTTAAATCATCTTGACATTGAGGACATCTTTGTGCATTAACTCGTAGATGTTCTTCAATACATTCACGACAAAAACTGTGTTGATTATGGCACATTCTGGCATCTTTCATGACATTCAGACAAATAGAACAGTAAAAGTTTTCATCAACAACAGTCTTAAATCTCGATTCTTGATATCCACTTTCGTAAACATTAGGACGACAAGCCATTTCATACGTCTTCCTATACAATTTAATGCCAAAATTAATACAGGAGTTGATGAAATTTTGTTTATCACTAAAAGTTGAAGCTAAAAGATAGGTTAAAATTTTCAATCGACGTTTGATAAACACGGAAGCTGAAAGCAAAGCATAACAACGCCTACTTTTATATTTTAACATATTTATGTTAAGCAAAACAAAGACAAAAGATAAAACAAAATAATGCAATGAAGCACATCAACAAAAAAAAACACAACTGAGGTCAAAGTTTCTAAGGTCAAAGAAGTGGAGCTTTAGTCAATCTCATAAGGCAGTTCGTTCTCGGTGAAAAACATCCTAATTAAAGGTTATTTGTTGTAGTAAAATTACGTCTTTTCTTATAATGCAGAATTAACGTTAATCCAATACGATTGTTACGTTTTCAGTTTAAAACTACATTTGTTTAGTCTGAATCACTGGTTGAAATTCTGAAACTCATTCGCTTTGGTGGCACCCTAAGTTCATTGCATTTGTTTCTTTGATTGTCAATATTTCTAATCATTTTAGATACGATGATCATATATTTATAACACAAGGAAACATGTTTCAAGACACAAGTAAAACATATTTCACAAAGACTGTTGAATCCGATTTGCAAATTATTGTCGATTTCAGTTAACTTTTCAAATGGCGGTTGCCAAGTTACTTTCTAATGTTGCCAACTACATTTCCAAATATGGAATATTCGTTATGAACTTGTCAACTTGAGTTGACAAGTTGTGTACTTGAGTACTGAAGTTGGGAACTTGAGTACTGAAGTTGGGAACTTTAGTACCGAAGTTGTGAACTAAAGTTGCGAAGTACTAGCAAACGCGAAAGGTTTTTGTACCCTGTAGACATTTGGCAATGAATCCGTTCAGTAAGCAAGGAAAAGCTTTAGCAATTCTAACCCGTTTGACGGCCCTCTTAGAGTGTTATAATGCGATACGCCGTTCACATTATGTAAAAAATTTACAGTAAATGTGGCACTAGAAGAGTATCGTTGGATTTTAAATGCAGTAGTACCCTGCATACTGTGCCCTCGACGTCTGTTGCCACTCGTAACAACTACAGGCGACTCATCAAAGAAATGCATACGGTTGCAATCAATCAATGAAATATTTGCTACGTAAGCTTCTAACTTCTCCATAACGTCCGGCCGTTCTGTCTCTCGAGGAATTTGACTTATTATCTTGTAAGAGTAACCAAGATCTTTATTCAAAATTCTACTAATGGATGACCTGCTAGGTATGTTTGCTGGAAGGCAAACTTTGATATTTTCTAGGTGTTGCTGAATCTCTTTTGCGTAAATAGATGGTTTATTAATTTTTAGATATTCAGTGTATGCAAAACGTCATCTGTACGCGTGGTTCGAACATCACGTTCGTTCTGGCGAGATGCAATAGAACCAGTGTCTACCCATAGATCTATAATATTTGATATAGTCAAATACGGTAGATTTAGTTGTTTCAAAATGTTTGTCAAACGCTGGTTATTTAACCACCTTTCAAGTATTTCATTTCTTACTTCTATTGGTAAAGCTTTTCCTTGCTTACTGAACGGATTCATTGCCAAATGTCTATAGGGTACCAAGACCTTTCGCGTTTGCCAGTACTTCGCAACTTTAGTTCACAACTTTAGTACTAAAGTTCCCAACTTCAGTACTCAAGTTCCCAAATTCAGTACTCAAGTTCACAACTAGTACTGTACAAGTACTCATACACAACTTGTCAACTCAAGTTGACAAGTTCATAACGAATATTCCATATTTGGAAATGTAGTTGGCAAAATTAGAAAGTAACTTGGCAACCGCCATTTGAAAAGTTAACTGAAATCGACAATAAAAGTTTAGACATCTTTTCTTACTATGTTTTAACAAACAAATTATTGATAACATTCAAAATGCTAAATGGAACTGACAAAAGGTTGCAAGAGTGGGAAAAATGACCATGTTAAGAATACCTTAGGTGATGAGAGATTCCTTTCCTCGCAGTTAGCCTGCAGTTGGCCACTTATCGTCGATTTCAGTTAACTTTTCAAATGGCGGTTGCCAAGTTACTTTCTAATGTTGCCAACTATATTTCCAAATATGGAATATTCGTTATGAACTTGTCAACTTGAGTTGACAAGTTGTGCTGTTTTGAAGTTGTGTAGTGTTGAAGTTGTGTACTTGAGTACTGAAGTTGTGTACTTGAGTGTTGAAGTTGTGTACTTAAGTACTGAAGTTGTGTACTTGAGTACTGAAGTTGTGTACTTGAGTGTTGAAGTTGTGTACTTGAGTACTGAAGTTGTGTAACTTGAGTACTGAAGTTGTGTAACTTGAGTACTGAAGTTGTGTACTTGAGTACTGAAGTTGTGTAACTTGAGTACTGAAGTTGTGTACTTGAGTACTGAAGTTGTGAACTTGAGTACTGAAGTTGTGAACTTGAGTACTGAAGTTGTGAACTTGAGTACTGAAGTTGTGAACCAAAGTTGCGAAGTACTGGCAAACGCGAAAGGTCTGCGCGAGTTTCTATTTCTGCGGGAATTTTATTTTTGAAGAACTGGCGCAAAATTCTAATATCGCGAAGAAGTTGTGGTCTGTTCATTTTATATTCAGCATTAATTTTCATCATCTGGGGGTTAATGCTTTTATAAATTGGTGCTCACTCTGGCTTTGAAAATTATTAATACCATTTAATTCTTCTTGGAGTTGCTTAATAGTGTCGTGTTTTTGTTTTATCTTAAACTTCAATCGATTTATGTCCGCAGAATATTCGGGATGTTTGTCTTTAAGTCCACAATAAGTAAACGCGGAACATTTTTCAAGAATACACGGTTTAGTTTGTGTGTTTCTGTGACCTCGGTGGTGGCAGTTGCTGCAGATGACTTTGTAATTAGCAATCATTGGTAATTCAGGAACATTTAAATTCATTGATTCTAATTGCACGTTCATCTCTTCCAAATCTTGTTTGTTGTGATGAATTGAGTCTTCGATTGTCCTTCGCCGATTTTACAATGAATGTTTAGCGGGTATACTTGTATCCTATTTCAGATAGTTAAACGCAACATTATAAATTTATACATTTATTTTATTGTGACTACAAAACAATGACGCACGACAGTATTCAGTTTTAAGAAATATGTCACTTTACGACCTACCTCGTAGAAGCAGATGGATTTTCATCCACGTCAAGACAGCTTTTGATTGAGATTTTGAAAGTTTTAATAACGGTGACTGCTCCGCAGCAAATCGAGATGAAATTCTAAAACTTTCCTTGCCCCAAGAGGCAAGTTCGTATTCTTTTAAAGATGACCAAGATTTTCATTACTTAACAATTTCAGCGACAGTCGTGAAGAAAATTCATTTTCTTTCAAAGCTTTTTCTATTACTTCATGATTTTGTTTCCCAATTTTATCCTTAAAACTATTAAGAAACTCCTCCAATTCATCTGCCATTATCAGTGAACAATTTATTTAGCTTTTACTAGCCTACAACACAGACCTTTCGCGTTTGCCAGTACTTTGCAACTTTAGTTCACAACTTCAGTACTCAAGTTCACAACTTCAGTACTCAAGTTCACAACCTCAGTACTCAAGTTACACAACTTGTCAATTCAAGTTGACAAGTTCATAACGAATATTCCATATTTGGAAATGTAGTTGGCAACATTAGAAAGTAACTTGGCAACCGCCATTTAAAAGTTAACTGAAATCGACGATAATTAGACTTTCTTTTCTGCAAGTTTCTTCCTTTGTCCCAGACCACAAGTAGTGCATCTTTAAAATAGTTTAGGCCGTAACTAATGGGTTCTATTGAATTACAGGTCAGTGGCAGGAACTAGAGGCCGTAGACACCCCAGTGCACTACACCGCCATGTGCCCATACATCCATAAGGTCTCCATGTTATTAACTGTCACTGAATCACGTGTTTGTTTCTTTGTACTTCGATGTCTCAGTTACTTGCATTGGCAAAGTTAAGATAGGTACGCTCTATATTTGTGCTTTTTGTGTTGTACAAAATGTTAACGTATGTTCAATTGCCTATAATATCAACAGTGCGAGTTTGTTTTTCTTTAATGTGCACCCTCCCCCCCCTTCCTTTAAACTTTCTGGTTGGGAATTACTACCCTATTCCTCGACCTAGGTTAATTTACTGAAACCTCGATATATCTTCATTTCATGGAAACAAATTTGGTACACCGATGTCATTTCTACGTGTTATAACTCTCAAACAATGAACATGCTCACGTAAACATGCATAATTACAAAATCATATAGTTACCTACTAGATACCTTCTTTAATTCAGAAAAGAACGGATACAGACGATTTCAAGTAAATGGTACAAACATATAACGATACTCCCGGGTTCAAACCATTTACTTTATTACGATCATTTGGACGACAGAGCGAACAACTTGCTAACGACTACATACGTTTTGCAAGCAACGTCAGACTCCTCATTTGACTCTGAAGATGACTACCGCTAAGGTTGTCGAAACGTCAGTCAACAACATCAAAAACAGTCCTTCTCAGGACTTTATTAACCTGGACGATCATCATTTACAAACATATACAGACGATTTCGTCACATTAATTATTATACATTGTATATTCGTACTTTATCCTTAAAATATTCATCAAATGTGCGGATAAAATTGTCATAAGGTTCAAATTTTCTATTACTGGGGAGTGAGAATGAGTTTTGCTGATGAAATATTTGTTAAAAGACAGCAACTGAAGCACTTCTCGACTGTTTAACTCATACTGATGGCACAAAGGTATTAGTTTTTAATTTGTATGAATGTACTTGGTAGTGTGTTTGATTAATAAAAGTAGATTTAAACCTTTTCGCTTCTTTGTTCAGGTTTTAACAAGCAACTTGACTTGTGGGGACAAAGTCTTTGTAGTAATTGGTAAAGTTGATGGTTATTGCATAGATACAAGTATTGACGACAAGATATATCATGTAGCAGACAACTTGTACATTTCTTCACAAGATGGAGCTTGTAATCTTGAACATTTAAGGCTGCAAAAAATTACTCATATTGTTAATGTTGCCACAGGAATTTTAAATCAATTTCCAAATGTGAGTATAACTTAGATGGTGGATTTCAAATTTTAGCCTAAGCTCTTGTGTTTATGTCATATTTCGATTTTTTCTCTCAGGAGTTTCAGTACAAAACAGTAGAAATTTTGGATTTACCTGACACAAGAATAGATCAGCATTTTGCTGAGCTGTTCTCATTCATTGAAAAGGGACTGGAGGATGGAAAGGTTTTGGTTCATTGGTAAGTGTAAAATGGTGATGGCCATTGATATTCTAAATGTGTGTATTGTGAAGGTTATTATGGTAAGTTTTTAGGTTTTCATGTGAATGAATTAAACTTTGAATATTTTTATTAGTACATGTTGATGTTTTAACATACTTAGCAATAATTATTTACTTTGAACTTGGCTCGAAATATGACTACATCTGAGGATGTGAAAACATCAGTCAACATCAACTGAATTAACCTGAATGATCAACACATACAAACATGTAGGTTTTGCTACAGGCTTGTCAACACAATTTATGTTCTTATGGAGGATATTAATTTGATTACAAAAAACCAAATGCTGAATCAGCATGTTCACTGTTAACTTGTTGAAATGTTAATTGAAGGCTGTGTTTCACATTTGAGGCATACGTAACTTAAAGATGATGGCCATTAAACTAAAAATTGTTGCTTATGCAGCAAAAATTTTGTAGCCAATGAAATGATTTTCCTTTAAATGTCCAGCAAAGCAGGAGTGTCCAGGTCTTCGACTGTTGTCATTGCTTACCTTATGAAATCTAACAATATTGGGTTAGATGATGTATTTCATTTGGTAAAGAAAGCATGACCAACAGCAAAGCCTGATGAAGGTTTTTGGAGGCAACTGAAGGAAAATCATTTATTATTAAGTCAATCAAACACTCCAAGTGATGGAAGAACAAACAAATAATGGTAAACCATTCTTATATGATGGTTGAATATGCACATGAGCAGAGTGAAAGCACCAAAATTAATGGCGAACCATTCCTGTATGATGCTACAACATGCATATGAGCCATGTGAAATGAAGAACAAAATATAAAGGTAAACCATTCCTGTATGGTGCTACAACATGCACTTGAGCCATGTGAAATGAAGAACAAAATATAATGGTGAACCATTCCTGTATGGTGCTACAACATGCACTTGACCCATGTGAAATGAAGAACAAAATATAAAGGTGAACCATTCCTGTATGGTGCTACAACATGAACTTGAGCCATGTGAAATGAAGAACAAAATATAATGGTGAACCATTCCTGTATGGTGCTACAACATGCACATGAGCCATGTGAAATGAAGAACAAAATATAATGGTGAACCATTCCTGTATGGTGCTACAACATGCACTTGAAATGAAGAACAAAATATAATGGTGAACCATTCCTGTATGGTGCTACAACATGAACTTGAGCCATGTGAAATGAAGAACAAAATATAATGGTGAACCATTCCTGTATGGTGCTACAACATGCACTTGAAATTAAGAACAAAATATAATGGTGAACAATTCCTTAATGGTAATAGAATACAAAGCTAAACTAAACAATGTAACGCAATAAGGTTATTGTATACAATGTTTGATGTTTCCTGAAATCCAATAGTCATTGAAATTGCTGTTTTCAAATACTTAGTAAACTCAACTTATAACATAACCCTCCCTTGGCTAACTTTATTTTTAGAATTGGGTAGAAAAGATACAAGGTGAATATGAAAAACCATAATAGTCTTTGACATAATGATCTATTTAAGTTCTAATATTTTATCTTTATAAATCTTCAGCTGGAGAGCACAATCTGATTGCTTTCTTTGGCAAATGTTATCACCTGTCATGATTAATCTGTATAAAAATTTCCATTGTTGGGTCAATGGATTTTGCAAATTGCATTCAGGTTGTGTTTCCCGAGGGGAGGGGGGGTGATAAAGAAGTGTTTCCATGGCAACTTTCCAGCATTATTGATGTGTCCAACAATTGATATAGGTAAGAAAGTTCTATGTGAGACAACATTAACTTTCTTGTTTAAATTCATCCCTGATGTTTGCGTTGGTGTTTTTATATTTTTGTGATACCGGTCCACATTAAACTTATCATCACACACCATAAACAGTTCGATGTTCTTTGTTTATATAGAGCCCCTCCAATGCGATTCAATGTTTCTTTGGTAACTGCTATGCAGAATCTGTTCAAGTTTTGAGGGAATCAGGAAAAGTAACAGGTCTTCTGTTTAAACTTGTGGGAGAAGGTATGGATGACGCTAACACTCAGTATGATCTCATCATCTTTACTCAACATTGTCCCACCCCTTCACTCAACGTTGCTCATTACCTCATCTCCTTTACTCAATATCACCTCGCTCTTACATAGTCATTATTTAATTTCCATCACGTTGTTCAGTGAATATACTTCAGTACTTTTCATTTAAACATTTTTCATCACCTTTTCCCATTTCTACACGTTAAAAATTTCTTCCTTCAGGAAACAGCTTCGGTACATTACCAGACCTGAATAAAAAAGTTGTTGAAAGAACGGTTTCATTTGGAGACACGTGTCAGGTACGTAGACTTAATGATTTTGCAACAAATGTTTCTTCTTTTATTCTAATAGTATAGATCTGTTGTAGGTAGGTAAATAAATATACTGAACTACGTGTTTTTGTGGAGTGTGCTAGAATAGGCCACCACAACCTGGAACGACAAAGATAACGAGATATATATATATTTTTACATGTTTGCAAATGTCGATCGTCCAGGTTAGTATAGTCCTGAAAAGGACTGTTTTTGTTGTTGTTGACTGACGTTTCGACAATCTTAGCGGTAGTCATCTTCAGAGTAATTTTGACAACCTTATCGGTAGTCATCTTCAGAGCCATTTTGACTCTGAAAATGACTACCGCAAAGGTTGTCGAAACGTCAGTCAACAACAACAAAAACAGTCCTTCTCAGGAATATACCAACCTGGACGATCGACGTTTACAAACATGTAGCGATACTCCCGGGTTCAAACCATTTACTTTATATATATATTTTATTTGTTATCGCCCTCCTCTCTTCTGCCACCCGTGAAAGATCCCCTTCATTTTATAATAGACATTTTTTTAAAGTTCTCTTTGTCTGTTTTCTTTGAAAAACACTATTATTGCAAGTGGAACCAGGAAGACTGGGGTCTAAACTTTTATAGCTACTGAAAAAGAATATTTTGTACAAAATTTTCCATTTCAGGATGTCATGACGTGTTTTGGTTCACCTTGTAAAGTATTTTATAAAGCTGAAGATAAGGTGAATGTTTAGCAAAAGTTTCAGTAGAGGATTTGACTTAAGAAGCGTTTTTAGTTAGCATTCAAGCAGTTCATTTAGTTGCAAGACGTCTATCAGACGTCTATTTTTGCTATTGTAGAGAAAAATGCGAATTTTAATCTCGGACGTACAATCGGTTGTCCATGAGAATGAATTAAACTTTGAATATTTTTATTAGTACATGTTGATATTTTAACATACTTAGCAATAATTATTTACTTTGAACTTAGCTTGAAATATGACTACATCTGAGAATGTCAAAACATCAGTCAACATCAACTTAATTAACCTGAATGATCAACACATACAAACATGTAGGTTTTGCTACAGGCTTGTCAACACAATTTATGTTCTTATGGAGGATATTAATTTGATTACAAAAAACCAAATGCTGAATCAGCATGTTCACTGTTAACTTGTTGAAATGTTAATTGAAGGCTGTGTTTCACATTTGAGGCATGCGTAACTTAAAGATGATGGCCATTAAACTAAAAATTGTTGCTTATGCAGCAAAAATTTTGTAGCCAATGAAATGATTTTCCTTTAAATGTCCAGCAAAGCAGGAGTGTCCAGGTCTTCGACTGTTGTCATTGCTTACCTTATGAAATCTAACAATATTGGGTTAGATGATGCATTTCATTTGGTAAAGAAAGCATGACCAACAGCAAAGCCTAATGAAGGTTTTTGGAGGCAACTGAAGGAAAATCATTTATTATTAAGTCAATCAAACACTCCAAGTGATGGAAGAACAAACAAATAATGGTAAACCATTCTTATATAATGGTTGAATATGCACATGAGCAGAGTGAAAGCACCAAAATTAATGGCGAACCATTCCTGTATGGTGCTACAACATGCACTTGAGCCATGTGAAATGAAGAACAAAATATGATGGTGAACCATTCCTGTATGGTGCTACAACATGCACTTGAGCCATGTGAAATGAAGAACAAAATATAATGGTGAACCATTCCTGTATGGTGCTACAACATGCACATGAGCCATGTGAAATGAAGAACAAAATTAATGGCGAACCATTCCTGTATGGTGTTACAACATGCACATGAGCCATGTGAAATGAAGAACAAAATTAATGGCGAACCATTCCTGTATGGTGCTACAACATGCACATGAGCCATGTGAAATGAAGAACAAAATATAAAGGTAAACCATTCTTGTATGGTGTTACAACATGCACATGAGCCATGTGAAATGAAGAACAAAATTAATGGCGAACCATTCCTGTATGGTGTTACAACATGCACATGAGCCATGTGAAATGAAGAACAAAATTAATGGCGAACCATTCCTGTATGGTGCTACAACATGCACATGAGCCATGTGAAATGAAGAACAAAATATAAAGGTAAACCATTCTTGTATGGTGCTACAACATGCACATGAGCCATGTGAAATGAAGAACAAAATATAAAGGTAAACCATTCTTGTATGGTGCTACAACATGCACATGAGCCATGTGAAATGAAGAACAAAATTAATGGCGAACCATTCCTGTATGGTGCTACAACATGCACTTGAGCCATGTGAAATGAAGAACAAAATATAAAGGTGAACCATTCCTGTATGGTGCTACAACATGCACTTGAGCCATGTGAAATGAAGAACAAAATATAATGGTGAACCATTCCTGTATGGTGCTACAACATGCACATGAGCCATGTGAAATGAAGAACAAAATATAATGGTGAACCATTCCTGTATGGTGCTACAACATGCACATGAGCCATGTGAAATGAAGAACAAAATATAATGGTGAACCATTCCTGTATGGTGCTACAACATGCACATGAGCCATGTGAAATGAAGAACAAAATATAATGGTGAACCATTCCTGTATGGTGCTACAACATGCACATGAGCCATGTGAAATGAAGAACAAAATATGATGGTGAACCATTCCTGTATGGTGCTACAACATGCACTTGAGCCATGTTAAATGAAGAACAAAATATAATGGTGAACCATTCCTGTATGGTGCTACAACATGCACCTGAGCCATGTGAAATGAAGAACAAAATATAATGGTGAACCATTCCTGTATGGTGCTACAACATGCACTTGAGCCATGTGAAATGAAGAACAAAATATAATGGCGAACCATTCCTGTATGGTGCTACAACATGCACATGAGCCATGTGAAATGAAGAACAAAATATAAAGGTGAACCATTCTTGTATGGTGCTACACCATACACTTGAGCCATGTGAAATGAAGAACAAAATATAATGGTGAACAATTCCTTAATGGTAATAGAATACAAAGCTAAACTAAACAATGTAACGCAATAAGGTTATTGTATACAATGTTTGATGTTTCCTGAAATCCAATAGTCATTGAAATTGCTGTTTTCAAATACTTAGTAAACTCAACTTATAACATAACCCTCCCTTGGCTAACTTTATTTTTAGAATTGGGTAGAAAAGATACAAGGTGAATATGAAAAACCATAATAGTCTTTGACATAATGATATATTTAAGTTCTAATATTTTATCTTTATAAATCTTCAGCTGGAGAGCACAATCTGATTGCTTTCTTTGGCAAATGTTATCACCTGTCATGATTAATCTGTATGAAAATTTCCATTGTTGGGTCAATGGATTTTGCAATTTGCATGCAGGTTGTGTTTCCCGAGGGAGGGTGATAAAGAAGTGTTTCCATGGCAACTTTCCAGCATTATTGATGTGTCCAACAATTGATATAGGTAAGAAAGTTCTATGTGAGACAACATTAACTTTCTTGTTTAAATTCATCCCTGATGTTTGCGTTGGTGTTTTTATATTTTTGTGATACCTGTCCACATCAAACTTATCATCACACACCATAAACAGTTCAATGTTCTTTGTTTATATAGAGCCCCTCCAATGCGATTCAATGTTTCTATGGTAACTGCTATGCAGAATCTGTTCAAGTTTTGAGGGAATCAGGAAAAGTAACAGGTCTTCTGTTTAAACTTGTGGGAGAAGGTATGGATGACGCTAACACTCAGTATGACCTCACCCCCTTTACTCAACATTGTCCCACCCCTTCACTCAACGTTGCTCATTACCTCATCTCCTTTACTCAATATCACCTCGCTCTTACATAGTCATTATTTGATTTCCATCACGTTGTTCAGTGAATATACTTCAGTACTTTTCATTTAAACATTTTTCATCACCTTTTCCCATTTCTACACGTTAAAAATTTCTTCCTTCAGGAAACAGCTTCGGTACATTACCAGACCTGAATAAAAAAGTTGTTGAAAGAACAGTTTTATTTAGAGACACGTGTCAGGTACGTACACTTAATGATTTTGCAACAAATGTTTCTTCTTTTATTCCAGTAGTATAGATCTGTTGTAGGTAGGTAAATAAATATACTGAACTGACGTGTTTTTGGGGAGTGTGCTAGAATAGGCCACCACAACCTGGAACGACAAAGATAACGAGATATATATATATTTTTACATGTTTGCAAATGTCGATCGTCCAGGTTAGTATAGTCCTAAAAAGGACTGTTTTTGTTGTTGTTGACTGAAGTGTCGACAATCTTAGCGGTAGTCATCTTCAGAGTAATTTGGACAACCTTAGCGGTAGTCATCTTCAGAGCCATTTTGACTCTGAAAATGACTACCGCAAAGGTTGTCGAAACGTCAGTCAACAACAACAAAAACAGTCCTTCTCAGGAATATACCAACCTGGACGATCGACGTTTACAAACATGTAACGATACTCCCGGTTCAAACCATTTACTTTATATATATATTTTATTCGTTATCGCCCTCCTCTCTTCTGCCACCCGTGAAAGATCCCTTCATTTTATAATAGACATTTTTTAAAGTTCTCTTTGTCTGTTTTCTTTGAAAAACACTATTATTGCAAGTGGAACCAGGAGGACTGGGGTCTAAACTTTTATAGCTACTGAAAAGAATATTTTGTACAAAATTTTCCATTTCAGGATGTCATGACGTGTTTTGGTTCACCTTGTAAAGTATTTTATAAAGCTGAAGATAAGGTGAATGTTTAGCAAAAGTTTCAGTAGAGGATTTGACTTAAGAAGCGTTTTTAGTTAGCATTCAAGCAGTTCATTTAGTTGCAAGACGTCTATCAGACGTCTATTTTGCTATTGTAGAGAAAATGCGAATTTTAATCTCGGACGTACAATCGGTTGTCCATACCTTCTCGTATTATTTTGTTTATTTGACTATAACTCTGTTTCCAATATCGCTGTTTTTTATTACAACATCTTACCTTATTACAACTGATTAATAATTTTAATGTTTTTTATGTGCATTACAGCAATATCTTCTTCTCCATCTTTTTCTCTAGATGCGTATCCATTCTCCCTATACATACAAACTTAATTAATCAAATAGATCCTTCTATTTCTTCAACTAATTTTACACTTGGCGTGGTAAGTCATGAATTTTATTCTTTGGCTTTTTCTACCTATTCTGTAGTGTTGTGTTGATAAAGTTATGCCTGATTGCAGGCTATATGCATAAGCTCGGGAAACAGGGATAAAAACAAGGCATGAATTGAGCCCCGAGGTGCAAAAGTGAAGAGCGTATTTTTGTACAATGTCTTTTGTTTAATAAATATTTGTTATAACAACGGGAGTTTGGTGTTCTGTAACAATTCGGAACAGAGTACATTTTTTTGATTTCTTTCATTCTTAATTACCTATCTATTATTTGAGACAATAGTCTTCTTCATTCCCATAATTCCATGCATCATAAATAAAAAGGAACATAACAGCAAAAGAAATCATATTTTCCTGATTATTGGCGTAGATAAAACAAAATGGGCAGAATTGTATCAGGAGCTTGGACTTTATTATTGGTAGCTTCTTTTCTTCATGAAAGCAGTGCACTTTCTGCTCAGACATGCAAAAATATTACATCCTTTAAAGAAAAGTGTTAGAATCCTGATTTTATATTTGTCAAAAATCAAATTGTTCTTAAGGGCGAACTCGATGTTAAATTCGAGACTAGTGGACAAAATTTCTCTTGGTATTGTGGAAGCTCGAGAAGAGAAGTGGTTTTGGACAAACCGGCAAATAAAGCACGAGTGTATTATCGAAAAAATGAAGACGTAGAAATATTCATTGAAGATTGTCCCCAGGTTAAGTCTAAAAAATTCAGTGTTACAGCTGGTAAAAGTGTTTGTTACGACGAAAGTTTTTCTTATGCGTGTCCTGGAATAGAAGGAAAAAGTCATCCTTGCAGTTATGAACTAACAATTAACAAAAAAACAACTAAAGTATCTCAGGTATCTGTCGGATTGACCCTGAAAATCGTAGCAAAATTCAAAATATCTTTTCTGCATCAAGGACACAAAAATCGTACACACTTATGAGTACCAAGAGAAATGGTACTTTGTCGTACCTGCTGGATATACGTTTTGCTCATATAGAAAAGCCACAATTAGTTTTGGAAATCAGTCATACTACTGTTCCGGAACAGACTTCAAATTTGTTAAGTTTGGTACTATTTGCTCGGGGAATAGATTATGTAATAAAAAAGAAAGGTCATGTTTCCATGACGAACACAACATCAGTAACAGGCCAAATTTTCATTTCGCTTTCTGTTTTATCATACTCTGGTTTTTCTTTTCATCTAATGTAAAACGTTCATTGCCAACACCCACTCATTTATTAACAGCTAATGTGTAGTTTCTAGTATCATAAATATAAATGGACAATATAATGTTTCTGTGAAGAAATGAAAGCTTAGTTTCATGTATAAACACGAGATGTATTGTGTAAACTTACTTTAAGTACGTCGCAAAATCCTTATGGCATTTTGCGTAAAACTAGCAGTAACTATGAATATGTAGTTGATTAGCATTTATGTATGTGTGTGACAATAATAAAGTCATTAGTAAACTCAATTGTCAATTGATAAACTTTGTGCTTCTAGCTGCATGTTTGTGGTATGCAAAATGAAACTGCTGTGTAAACGTCATATTTATTATGAAATATAAAAATTTTTCACTTTTAGTTTTTGCTAACTTGAATGAATTAAGTTCGTTATCTTAAATGAAAGATTTTTCAAATAAACTGCTAAGGTTATCCCCTACCTATACGAGTTCCACTTTTTATTAAAAGATTCATTACAGGGAAATGATAGCAATTGCTGATAGCAATTCCATATTCGCAGTATAGTTAATTCAAATCACAAATTCGGATTTGACAAAATCGATGTCATTTAAAGACATTAGAATTGATTCCACTAGACGAACAAAATGATACAAGATTCAACACTATGAATGCATTTATATTTAAATCTTCACCATGCAGCAACTGTAAATTCTTCGAAGTAACATTTTATAAAAATTTTGGATATTTTGCTACCGATGTGTAAACATGGTATGCAGCCAAATTGATCAGGTCCTAGTCTTTCTCCTGTATACTGTGATATAAATGTAGTTTTGATGCATGGAAACCATTATGAAAACGACTTGATTATGACCGCGCTAAATTTGAGAATTTAAGCGAGCAATGTTTTTGAAATATTTGTTACTTCACTTCAAATTTTGAATATCGGAGCAAAATTTTCTGCCTATGTTAAAGATATACAGATATATAGAGTTGTTGTGATGGTGAATGGCACCGATAGAAAGCGAGAAGTCCCAAAGAAGGTTGGCAGGCAGAGTCAAAGGAATTAAACTGCACATTTTGCCCTATTACGGTATAAAATACATCCATGTCGATTGATGAGCAAGAAAATAAATTGAACGATTATATAGAAGATTTTCTACTCAAAGGTAAATTTGTGAACAAAATTGTGTATTATCATTGACTGTTCATGAAATTATTAAGGATAAAAATATTAATAAAATTTGAAATCAGCTGTTGATTTAATTCAAACCTCCCATGTTGTTATTATTTTCAAAACCGTATTTTGTACCCACGAAGAAATTTTGGAGTACACCCTAAACTGAGGTGTATATCATCAAGATTACGTCTGCTTTGACCTAAAAAAATTTTACATGGTTTTGTCTACAAATAATGCACAAGAATTAAGTCGATACATTAAGTGTTGTTATGGATGAAGTAACCAATCATCCACTGAAGATGTTTGTTATTTTAAGCATATGTATTTGTATTTCTACAGTAAAGAACAGGCGTGAAAGAATATTAAAATGCATTCAAAAAGCCAAAGCACAGACTGCAAATGCTTATAAGAGTCCAAGCATTGAAGTTGTTAAGGTATTGAAATTATATTGGATTATCTTTTCTTGTAAATGACTTATATGGCTCACCACCATATAAACGTCTGTGTCATACATCAAGAGATAAGTAGGTCCAATGTAAATGACTTATATGGCTCACCACCATATAAACGTCTGTGTCATACATCAAGAGATAAGTAGGTCCAATGTAAATGACTTATATGGCTCACCACCATATAAACGTCTGTGTCATACATCAAGAGATAAGTTGGTCCAATGTAAATGACTTATATGGCTCACCACCATATAGACGTCTGTGTCATACATCAAGAGATAAGTAGGTCCAATGTAAATGACTTATATGGCTCACCACCATATAAACGTCTGTGTCATACATCAAGAGATAAGTAGGTCCAATGTAAATGACTTATATGGCTTACCACCATATAAACGTCTGTGTCATACATCAAGAGATAAGTAGGTCCAATAAAATGACTTATATGGCTCACCACCATATAAACGTCTGTGTCATACATCAAGAGATAAGTAGGTCCAATGTAAATGACTTATATGGCTCACCACCATATAAACGTCTGTGTCATACATCAAGAGATAAGTAGGTCCAATGTAAATGACTTATATGGCTTACCACCATATAAACGTCTGTGTCATACATCAAGAGATAAGTAGGTCCAATGTAAATGACTTATATGGCTTACCACCATATAAACGTCTGTGTCATACATCAAGAGATAAGTAGGTCCAATGTAAATGACTTATATGGCTCACCACCATATAAACGTCTGTGTCATACATCAAGAGATAAGTAGGTCCAATGTAAATGACTTATATGGCTTACCACCATATAAACGTCTGTGTCATACATCAAGAGATAAGTAGGTCCAATGTAAATGACTTATATGGCTCACCACCATATAAACGTCTGTGTCATACATCAAGAGATAAGTAGGTCCAATGTAAATGACTTATATGGCTCACCACCATATAGACGTCTGTGTCATACATCAAGAGATAAGTAGGTCCAATGTAAATGACTTATATGGCTTACCACCATATAAACAACTGTGTCATACATCAAGAGATAAGTAGGTCCAATGTAAATGACTTATATGACTCACCACCATATAAACGTCTGTGTCATACATCAAGAGATAAGTAGGTCCAATGTAAATGATATGACTCACAACCACCATATAAACGTCTGTGTCATACATCAAGAGAGAAGTAGGTCCAATGTAAATGACTTATATGGCTCACCACCATATAAACGTCTGTGTCATACATCAAGAGATAAGTAGGTCCAATGTAAATGACTTATATGGCTCACCACCATATAAACGTCTGTGTCATACATCAAGAGATAAGTAGGTCCAATGTAAATGACTTATATGGCTCACCACCATATAAACGTCTGTGTCATACATCAAGAGATAAGTAGGTCCAATGTAAATGACTTATATGGCTCACCACCATATAAACGTCTGTGTCATACATCAAGAGATAAGTAGGTCCAATGTAAATGACTTATATGGCTTACCACCATATAAACGTCTGTGTTATACATCAAGAGATAAGTAGGTCCAATGTAAATGACTTATATGATTCACCACCATATAAACATCTGTGTCATACATCAAGAGATAAGTAGGTCCAATGTAAATGACTTATATGGCTTACCACCATATAAACGTCTGTGTCATACATCAAGAGATAAGTAGGTCCAATGTAAATGACTTATATGGCTCACCACCATATAAACCTCTGTGTCATACATCAAGAGAGAAGTTGGTCGAATGTAAATGACTTATATGGCTCACCACCATATAAACGTCTGTGTCATACATCAAGAGATAAGTTGGTCCAATGTAAATGACCTATATGGCTCACCACCATATAAACCTCTGTGTCATACATCAAGAGATAAGTAGGTCCAATGTAAATGACTTATATGGCTCACCACCATATAAACGTCTGTGTCATACATCAAGAGATAAGTTGGTCCAATGTAAATGACTTATATGGCTTACCACCATATAAACGTCTGTGTCATACATCAAGAGATAAGTTGGTCCAATGTAAATTAAACCAACTATTTACTTGTCACTTTTAGAGTTGCATGTGAAAAAGAATACAGTTTTTAGTCTGTTACGAGTACTGTATGCTGTTTTGTTTGTGATGAAATAATACAATGTTTGGTATTTTAGGACAAGTCTTTCATTACCTAAGCACAACCAGTGGTGTCTAAACTAGATCCCATCCTTCAAGATCATTGGCATATCCAAGTTTGCAAGTTTTTTTCCAGCTTTCCACTACATCAATATATCATTCCATTTCTTGAAATGTTGTTTTTTACCTTGTTCAGAATGTACGCCAAATGAAATTTAAAGAATTTCTAAGTGAGTACAGTGTTTAGTCAAACAACCTGGCTGTAAAAGCTGATATGTAATAACATTTGCAAATCTTTCTGTTTTTGAGAAATTCTGTTACACCATTGATGTCTCTATAAACTTGGGGCACTGTGTCACTACCTTTAAAATAATTAACCAATAGGTGACTAAAATATAGAATGCAAACAGATAACATATTATGTATATACTTAACATTTATATCATCACATATTTGTAAAAAGAGTTTCATTGGGACAATAATCTCATTGTTCTATGTAACTTGTGGTTCCTGGCAGATTTTCAGAAGTGTATACCTTTTAGACTTTTATCATAGAATTTTATGATTGAAGGCTAAAAAAAATTGCAAAGTAATCTTCACATTGTAACTCAACCAATACCTTCAATACACAGTAATATAAGGCCCTCGCTGGCCTTTCCGTCGTCTTCGTGAAAACAGCTAATTACATCATTTTCATGGAAATTTCAGCGAATACATAATTAATTTATGTGCGTTCCGTTTTTTGGGACACCTGTAGATGGACCTCTTCTGGTATCAGTTACTCTTCCTATGATAGAATTTTGTTCTTTTTATAGACAACGCAGGAAATGTTGATTAAGCCATTACTGCGCAGGTGCGTACGTACGTAGACGATCCTTTAAGTCTGTGAATGTGACACATTTGAACGAGCTCATTGATTTGTTCTCTGACGTACAGAGAATTTGTTCCTGAAAGTGAAATTTGTTTTAATAATTGTAAAACACTTTACTGTCTCAGAGATCTTGTATTTTTAACAAAGACTACAATGTGTTGATCTTTGCTAGGTGACAGCGTACATAACAGAGCTTCAAGCATCAGGATCAGTGACTGACAACATGTCTGTTAAGTCAAGTTTAGAATGAACTGTTATAATTTGTGTTTGTCAACAACCATATGTGATGTTTTGTCTTCCAGAGTGGCGGACGCTGAAGGAGGGAGAAAGTCACTATCTTACGTACGTATATTGATAATTTTATATTTGATAAAGAATAACACAACGAGTTACGACACCACGTAAATTGATCGAAATGATTTGACAAACCTCTCCCCCCAACCCTCTCCCGTAGAAAATTTAGTCAATTGACCAGAACTATTTTCCAAAATATATAACCGTTCATTGCTAAGAAGTGTTGTTTTATTTGTTTATAAAACACAGAGTTTTATTTTTTTACTTTTAGATTGCCTTTGTCAAATCTCTCTTGTAAAATCAATAGCTCAGGTAGGATAATTGTCAGTTGTGGTTTACCATGCCTCAAAAGCAAGAGTAAAACTGTGTTCATTATCTTTTTTTATTAAGTTATCACACAGGAAAGACACCATAGCAAACAGCTATCTCCAAGTAATGGTTAAAATACAGAAATCTAAATAACGATCTGTTGTCATAGTTGCGTTTTTAGCTAAAAGTACACTATAAAGATTATGAAGTAGTTGAAGATATTAAGTCAATAATTAAATTAGTAAAGCCTGCTCCCCAGTCACCCCATAACCCGCGCATACTTGTTCTTGATATCCCAATTGCAAAAATTCTTCTTCATACTTTATGTAAATATCGTAATATCAGAGAACGTAAGTATGGATAAAATAGAAAGTTTTATTTATAGATTTTGAAATATGAGCCAACAAAACTTCTACTACAATCTGTGTCGTTATTTCGCTATGAAACTTTACAAAAACTTCGCTCGTGAATTGCTCGTGTCAAAGTATGAGAGCTCCAAAACCTGGAGAGAGGTTTGTCATTCATATTACGTAAAGTCTTGTTCTTATCCAAAACTCACATAGCCACAATCACCCTCACCACCATTATCTTTATCACACATTAACCCTCACCATCATTTTTATCCCAAACCATCATTACCAATCACCCCTCCACGTCCTTTATCCACATTACTCATTTTCATTATCCGTTCCTACTTAGAGTGATACCCATGACTGGATCACCGCTGACCAATGATGTTGCGCCCTTGGACAACAATGCTCGAAGGGCATCATAGTATTAACAGGTGGTAAGGTTAGTGATTTCATTTTAGTGGCTACCTTTTTGATTCCTAGTATGAATTGTGTTTTATTTAAGAAATAAAAGATGTTTACTGTGCTTGCACAGGCTTATGCAAACCGAAGATTCGTTTGGGAGAACTTGAGAGCAGATCAGTGCAAGCCCGAGACCGAAGATCGAGAGTTGCACATGCTCGAGAGTTCTTACAAACGTCTTCTAGGTTTGCACAAGTCAGTGTAAACACGGAAAATATCTTTTATTTCTTTTATAAAATAACAATATTGCGAAACAGACGAACATTTTAATTTTTCCTCTAAAATGTATTCATGATCTATTTGCAAATTCTCATTGACTGGTTGATTGTTATGATTGATTTGATTGGTAGAGCTTAGACGTGTTTTGCACAGGCTAATGCAAACACAGCTCTAGACCAATCAGCGCACGTGTTTCATTGTGTTTATTTTATAATGTTTGATAAAAGACCGCCGTTGTATGACAGAAGTACAAAGACTCTCATACACACGGGAATTCTAAAATTTTAGACACCGTACCTAATCATTGGAACATATAAGTACTAGACATTTCTTCATACCAACCTACATGGAATTTGAATTTTTGAAATATTTTAGATGACTAACTGCTAGTGATTTGGTCAACTACCTGCAAATTAGTAAGGGTAGAGCATGATCATGTGTGCTCTATGGGATTGAGAGACCCTCGCATTAGATAAAATTTTACTTACTCGGGCACCGTTTTAGAACAATGCATGGCCAAAGCCAAAAGGGATTACTTATGGTACTGAATTTAAGATGCTGTATTCTTATACAAGTATCTTTAGTTTACAGCTGATGATTGTTTTCAACGAGTATTTGAGATGTGTTCCATGTAAAGGCAGGTTTTAGTTCAAAACCTCTCGAAAGTTATAAGCCAGGGGGACATTGGATTGGTGTAACTCACAACCTGTTAATTTTAACACGTTCTATAAATATTTACCAGCAATGTGCGAGGTAGATTACATTGACATGAAAGGTTGAGGATTTTCAAATGATTTTGGAAAGGTTACGTGCCAAACAACCCTCTAAGAAAGGAACATTTTCATTGATGAACAAACAATAATGTCTCGGACTGATTATCGAAGAACATCATTGTTAGATGATGTAAAATACCAAGTTCTACTCTGGTTATGTCAGTTTTAAAAGCACTTCAACAACCTGCTCCAGTGGATGTTTCAAGTCCAAAGAAAATTGAGGTAGATAAGAAGAAAGAAGCATGTGTTAGTACGACAAATACACGACGTACTTTAAAGTTATTGAACATGGGAAAACACGTATGTTGTTTCATTTTATGTAATACACATGTGTTTGCTTTTAACTTTGTGAGCAATTATTAGTTTTTCCAATTTTTTCGTAAGAGTTATTTTAGTTTTAACATGAATATATTTACATCATCGAGATGCGTTAGAAACGCGTTAAATTTCATCACCTTGTTAGTTATTCAGAGATGAAATGTAATGTGAAATGTAAAATGGATTTTACATTGATGAGTGTAAATAATATTTCAGTTTGTTGAGGTGAATGATAAAACAAGTATTCAATTCGTTTTTCGCATGATATCAACAATTATTCATACCTCTGTCAACGTTATCCGTCCCAGCTTTGCTTCGGCAGATGACATTGACCTCGGTCTGAATAATTCTAAATATCATGCTCAACCTCATCTAATAACTGTTCATTATTTAAACATTAACTTGCTAAACTGAGGGACATTTTGCTGGTATATTTGTTTGTTATAATCTTTTCGTCCGAGGAATATTAAATTTCACTGTGTAGCACAAATCACTGTGACTGTCCCACTATCTTATAATGGTTTAAATGACAGAAAAATTACAGTCCATTGAAATGAAAAATATCAAATGTAGCCAAAACGCAAAACAAAAAAATGAAAGCCAAAATGTACTTTTTTGGACGTACAAAAACCAGGTTACAAACCCTAAACATGGCGACTGTATTATTGATGACGTCACGTTCCTCTCAAGAATACAAAGTTCTCAGACATAAAATTTCCTCGTTATTTTGTTGTCTGAGAGGAAACTGGAAAGGTGGCAAAATTTTCAATCTGAAGGTGCAATAACAATTTGTCATATTTATGTCATTTTAGCCAGTAAATAGCAAGAAATTTATCACGTGCTTTCGTACGAGTATACTCGTTGTAGGTGGTCAAAGTACAGCACACCAACAGCTAATGGTGCAGTTTCCTCATTCTTGTAATTTTACCATGCATATAAAGTATGTCACGTTTTAAATTTTGTTGCGTATAATAATAATGGCAGTACTAACGAAAATTGATATCCAGTTTGGTGTAGTCTTAAGAAGTGATTGAATGTTGGTGTTATTAGGGTAAACCTACCACTAGTAGGTGCCCCTAGTGCGCATGTGTGAACGCTACTTATAAAACATATTCACGTAGGGTGACTCTCTTTCTAGGATAACCCTTCTGCTGAGGTTACCGTACCTCCATGTAAATAGTCTCTAAGCAAATTGCTTTTGTATATTTCATGGGAAATAGTCCAAACAAATTCAATGTATAATTTAATAATGATGTGAGCAAAGCCATGTAATATATTTGAAAAATGCCATTTATATAAATAACATGTAAATATATAATTCTTAATTGGTGACCAAAGTTTGTGATAGACATGTGCTGTATATAGTATTTTATGATACAACTTGCAATATACAGTATATATATCATTAAAGTGAATCAGTGGAGAAATAATTTCTCAACAGGCTTTAAAGGTTTACACATTTAACTTTACATATTTATCATCCAGTGTAAGCTACAAGAATTTTAGTAAGTTATAACGTTTGATGAACGTTTTCTTGCTTATACATACTTTTGTCCAAAAGGTAAAACTTCGGCTATGGACACATATCGTGGTTCGTTCATTGAAGGAAGATATTTCCATGAAGAACTACATCCCATTTTGAAACACTCCACTGAATTAAGAACATTACCTTTATCATTCCAACCTCCCATGACAACAATTGTATCATCTGTTATAACTGCACAACAACAGGATCTCTTTTCCAACATGGATGGTAAGACTGTAATCTTACCTGTCTTAGTGTCATACATGATAACACTGTTCAACCTTTCTCTTCCATCATCACCTCCAAGAAGAACAACTTGATCTCTCCATTGAACTGTTGCCATTCCACCCAATGGATGAGGTAATGGAGGCATTTCCTTAAATGTAAGAGTCCTTGGATCAAATTCCAAAACACTGGACAAATGTTTCCAATCTTTTCCCTGTCCTCCAAAAATAAGAACTTTATCATCAACAACAACAGCTACATGGCCACAACGTGGTTCAGGCATAAGACACAACTCTTTTAAAACATTAGATGTTGCACCTGTAATCTTTATTTCACTGATCAAATCTGATGGTCCTTCACCAAAAATGTATCCTCCTCCAATGTGAAAGATTTGTTGTTTACAAACAACAGTTTGATGACCCTGACAGTAATAAGGAAGCTCTGTGGGAAATTTTCTCCATGTCAAAGGAAACTGTTTTATATTCAATGTCTCCATTGACCAGCAGCCCACTCCTCCAACAACAAATAAATTATCATTATAAATAAAGGATGAAGCCTTCCTGTGTTCATTTTCCATTGATGCAATGTTAAACCATTTCTCCTCCTTCCATGAAAATATTTCAACACTCTTTGAGGAACCACGTGAGTTACCTCCAGCAATCAAAATATCACATTTTACAGAGTTCATCACCATTTCAATTGGTGATGTCAATGTTTGAACATGTTGTTCATTTATATTCATCTTTTCCAACATTTGAAACATCATGGCTTTCATTTCTTTCATTTCTTTGGTCACTGTAGAAAGATTTTGTTGAACATCTTTTATTTCTTTCCTTGATTCCATCATTTCTTTGGTCACTGTAGAAAGATTTTGTTCAACATTTTCTACTACAGATTCCATCATTTCTTTATACTGAGATGTCAATGGTTTCACGGAATCTTTTACTTCAAAAAATTTTTCGTCTATTTTCCTGCTTAAGTTGTTCATTTGCATTTCCATTTTGTCTTCAAAACTTCGTTGAAACATTTCGCTAATCTCTCGAAAGTCGTGAGAAGCAATCTTTCTGTATTCACATAATTCAGTTTCATGTTTAATCTTGTCTCGTTTGTTTATTTCCAGACCACAACGTTCATTAGAACACAACACTGGAGCAAAACCACAATTTTCAACATGTCTTTCAAGATCTTCGACATTTATAAATTCAGGACAACCACGACTGGCGTAGTCGCAGTTGATCTTTAACTTTGAAATCATATTATTTATAACACGCGCTGGATGAAGCGTAGCTACAGTTAAATTATCTTGACATTGAGGACATCTTTGTGCATTAACTCGTAGATGTTCTTCAATACATTCACGACAAAAACTGTGTTGATTATGGCACATTCTGGCATCTTTCATGACATTCAGACAAACTGAACAGTAAAATTTTCATCAACAACAGTCTTAAATCTCGATTCTTCATATCCACTTTCGTAAACATTAGGACGACAAGCCATTTCATACGTCTTCCTATACAATTTAATGCCAAAATTAATACAGGAGTTGACGAAATTTTGTTTATCACTAAAAGTTCAAGCTAAAAGATAGGTTAAAATTTTCAATCGACGTTTGATAAACACGGAAGCTGAAAGCAAAGCAAAACAACGCCTACTTTTATATTTTAACATACTTATGTTAAGCAAAACAAAGACAAAAGATAAAACAAAATAATGCAATGAAGCACATCAACAAAAAAAAAACACAACTGAGGTCAAAGTTTCTAAGGTCAAAGAAGTGGAGCTTTAGTCAATCACATAAGGCAGTTTGTTCTCGGTGAAAAACATCCTAATTAAAGGTTATTTGTTGTAGTAAAATTACGTCTTTTCTTATAATGCAGAATTAACGTTAATCCAAGACGATTGTTACGTTTTCAGTTCAAAACTACATTTGTTTAGTCTGAATCACAGGTTGAAATTCTGAAACTTATTCGTTTTGGGTGGCACCCTAAGTTCATTGCATTTGTTTCTTTGACTGTCAATATTTCTAATATTTCTAATCATTTTAGATACGATGATCATATATTTATAACACAAGGAAACACGTTTCAAGACAGAAGTAAAACATATTTCACAAAGACTGTTGAATCCGATTTGCAAATTAAAAGTTTAGACATCTTTTGTTACTATGTTTTAACAAACAAATTATTGATAACATTCAAAATGCTAAATGGAACTGACAAAAGGTTGCAAGAGTGGGAAAAATGACCATGTTAAGAATACCTTAGGTGATGAGAGATTCCTTTCCTCGCAGTTAGCCTGCAGTTGGCCACTTATCGTCGATTTCAGTTAACTTTTAAATGGCGGTTGCCAAGTTACTTTCTAATGTTGCCAACTATATTTCCAAATATGGAATATTCGTTATGAACTTGTCAACTTGAGTTGACAAGTTGTGTACTTGAGTACTGAAGTTGTGTACTTGAGTGTTGAAGTTGTGTACTTGAGTACTGAAGTTGTGTACTTGAGTGTTGAAGTACTGTACTTGAGTACTGAAGTTGTGTACTTGAGTGTTGAAGTTGTGTACTTGAGTACTGAAGTTGTGTACTTGAGTAGTGAAGTTGTGAACTTGAGTACTGAAGTTGTGTACTTGAGTGTTGAAGTTGTGTACTTGAGTACTGAAGTTGTGTACTTGAGTACTGAAGTTGTGAACTTGAGTACTGAAGTTGTGAACTTGAGTACTGAAGTTGTGAACCAAAGTTGCGAAGTACTGGCAAACGCGAAAGGTCTGCGGGAGTTTCTATTTCTGCGGGAATTTTATTTTTGAAGAACTGGCGCAAAATTCTAATATCGCGAAGAAGTTTTGGTCTGTTCATTTTATATTCAGCATTAATTTTCATAATCTGGGGGTTAATGCTTTTATAAATTGGTGCTCACTCTGGCTTTGAAAATTATTAATACCATTTAATTCTTCTTGGAGTTGCTTCATAGTCTCGTGTTTTTGTTTTATCTTAAACTTCAATCGATTTATGTCCGCAGAATATTCGGGATGTTTGTATTTAAGTCCACAATAAGTAAACGCGGAACATTTTTCAAGAATACACGGTTTAGTTTGTGTGTTTCTGTGACCTCGGTGGTGGCAGTTGCTGCAGATGACTTTGTAATTAGCAATCATTGGTAATTCAGGAACATTTAAATTCATTGATTCTAATTGCACGTTCATCTCTTCCAACTCTTGTTTGTTGTGATGAATTGAGTCTTCGATTGTCCTTCGCCGATTTTACAATGAACGTTTAGCGGGTATACTTGTATCCTATTTCAGATAGTTAAACGCAACATTATAAATTTTTACATTTATTTTTATTGTGACTACAAAAACAATGACGCACGACTGTATTCAGTTTTAAGAAATATGTCACTTTACGACCTACCTCGTACGAAGCAGATGGATTTTCATCCACGTCAAGACAGCTTTTTGATTGAGATTTTGAAAGTTTTAACGGTGACTGCTCCCGCAGCAAATCGAGATGAAATTCTAAAACTTTCCTTGCCCCAAGAGGCAAGTTCGTATTCTTTTAAAGATGACCAAGATTTTCATTACTTAACAATTTCAGCGACAGTCGTGAAGAAAATTCATTTTCTTTCAAAGCTTTTTCTATTACTTCATGACTTTGTTTCCCAATTTTATCCTTAAAGCTATTAAGAAACTCCTCCAATTCATCTGCCATTATCAGTGAACAATTTATTTAGCTTTTACTTGCCTACAACACAGACCTTTCGCGTTTGCCAGTACTTCGCAACTTTAGTTCACAACTTCAGTACTCAAGTTCACAACTTCAGTACTCAAGTTCACAACCTCAGTACTCAAGTTACACAACTTGTCAATTCAAGTTGACAAGTTCATAACGAATATTCCATATTTGGAAATGTAGTTGGCAACATTAGAAAGTAACTTGGCAACCGCCATTTGAAAAGTTAACTGAAATCGAAGATAATTCGACTTTCTTTTCTGCAAGTTTCTTCCTTTGTCCCAGACCACAAGTAGTGAATCTTTAAAATAGTTTAGGCCGTAACTAATGGGTTCTATTGAATTACAGGTCAGTGGCAGGAACTAGAGGCCGTAGACACCCCAGTGCACTACACCTCCATGTGCCCATACATCATAGATATAGTAGAACTAAAAAGGAACATAACAGCAAAAGAAATCATATTTTCCCGATTATTGGCGTAGATAAAACAAAATGGACAGAATTGTATCAGGAGCTTGGACTTCATTATTGGTAGCTTCTTTTCTTCATGAAAGCAGTGCACTTTCTGCTCAGACATGCAAAAATATTACATCCTTTAAAGAAAAGTGTTAGAATCCTGATTTTATATTTGTCAAAAATCAAATTGTTCTTAAGGGCGAACTCGATGTTAAATTCGAGACTAGTGGACAAAATTTCTCTCGGTATTGTGGAAGCTCGAGAAGAGAAGTGGTTTTGGACAAACCGGCAAATAAAGCACGAGTGTATTATCGAAAAAATGAAGACGTAGAAATATTCATTGAAGATTGTCCCCAGGTTAAGTCTAAAAAATTCAGTGTTACAGCTGGTAAAAGTGTTTGTTACGACGAAAGTTTTTCCTATGCGTGTCCTGGGATAGAAGGAAAAAGTCATCCTTGCAGTTATGAACTAACAATTGACAAAAAAACAACTAAAGTATCTCAGGTATCTGTCGGATTGACCCTGAAAATCGTAGCAAAATTCAAAATATCTTTTTCTGCATCAAGGACACAAAAAATCGTACACACTTATGAGTACCAAGAGAAATGGTACTTTGTCGTAACTGCTGGATATACGTTTTGCTCATATAGAAAAGCCACAATTAGTTTTGGAAATCAGTCATACTACTGTTCCGGAACAGACTTCAAATTTTTATTAAGTTTGGTACTATTTGCTCGGGGAATAGATTATGTAATAAAAAAGAAAGGTCCTGTTTCCATGACGAACACAACATCAGTAACAGGCCAAATTTTCATTTCGCTTTCTGTTTTATTATACTCTGGGTTTTTCTTTTCATCTAATGTTAAACGTTCATTGCCAACACCCACTCATTTATTAACAGCTCATGTGTAGTTTCTAGTATCATAAATATAAATGGACAATATAATGTTTCTGTGAAGAAATGAAAGCTTAGTTTCATGTATAAACACGAGATGTATTGTGTAAATTTACTTTAAGTACGTCGCAAAATCCTTATGGCATTTTGCGTAAAAACTAGTATAGTAACTATGAATATGTAGTTGATTAGCATTTATGTATGTGTGTGACAATAATAAAGTCATTAGTAAACTCAATTGTCCTTTGATAAACTTTGTGCTTCTAGCTGCATGTTTGTGGTATGCAAAATGAAACTGCTGTGTAAAATATTTATTATGAAATATAAAAATTTTTCACTTTTAGTTTTTGCTAACTTGAACGAATTAAGTTCGTTATCTTAAATGAAAGATTTTTCAAATAAACTGCTAAGGTTATCCCCTACCTATACGAGTTCCCCTTTTTATTAAAAGATTCATTACAGGGAAATGATAGCAATTGCTGATAGCAATTCCATATTTGCAGTATAGTTAATTCAAATCACAAATTCGGATTTGACAAAGTCGATGTCATTTAGAGACATTAGAATTGATTCCACTAGACGAACAAAATGATACAAGATTCAACACTATGAATGCATTTAATTTTAAATCTTCACCATGCAGCAACTGTAAATTCTTCGAAGTAACATTTTATAAAAATTTTGGATATTTTGCTACAGATGTGTACACATGGTATGCAGCCAAATTGATCAGGTCCTAGTCTTTCTCCCGTATACTGTGTTATAAATGTAGTTTTGATGCATGGAAACCATTATGAAAACGACTTGATTATGACCGCGCTAAATTTGAGAATTTAAGCGAGCAATGTTTTTGAAATATTTGTTACTTCACTTCAAATTTTGAATATCTGAGCAAAATTTTCTGCCTATGTTAAAGATATACAGATATATAGAGTTGTTGTGATGGTGAATGGCACCGATAGAAAGCGAGAAGTCCCAAAGAAGGTTGGCAGGCAGAATCAAAGGAATTAAACTGCACATTTTGCCCTATTACGGTATAAAATACATCCATGTCGATTGATGAGCAAGAAAAGAAATTGAACGATTATATAGCAGATTTTCTACTCAAAGGTAAATTTGTGAACAAAATTGTGTATTATCATTGACTGTTCATGTAATTATTAAGGATAAAAATATTAATAAAATTTGAAATCAGCTGTTGATTTAATTCAAACCTCCCATGTTGTTATTATTTTCAAAACCGTATTTTGTACCCCGAAGAAATTTTGGAGTACACCCTAAACTGAGGTGTATATCATCAAGATTATGTGTGCTTTGACCTAAAAAAATTTTACATGGTTTTGTCTACAAATAATGCAAAAGAATTAAGTCGATATATTAAGTGTTGTTATGGATGAAGTAACCAATCATCCGCTGAAGATGTTTGTGATTTTAAGCATATGTATTTCTATTTCTACAGTAAAGAACAGGCGTGAATGAATATCAAAATGCATTTAAAAAGCCAAAGCACAGACTGCAAATGCTTATAAGAGTCCAAGCATTGAATTTGTTAAGGTATTGAAATTATATTGGATTATCTTTTCTTGTAAATGACTTATATGGCTCACCACCATACAAACGTCTGTGTCATACATCAAGAGATAAGTAGGTCCAATGTAAATGACTTATATGGCTCACCACCATATAAATGTCTGTGTCATACATCAAGAGATAAGTAGGTCTAATGTAAATGACTTATATGGCTCACCACCATATAAACGTCTGTGTCATACATCAAGAGATAAGTAGGTCCAATGTAAATGACTTATATGGCTTACCACCATATAAACGTCTGTGTCATACATCAAGAGATAAGTTGGTCCAATGTAAATGACTTATATGGCTCACCACCATATAAACGTCTGTGTTATACATCAAGAGATAAGTAGGTCCAATGTAAATGACTTATATGGCTTACCACCATATAAACGTCTGTGTTATACATCAAGAGATAAGTAGGTCCAATGTAAATGACTTATATGGCTACCACCATATAAACGTCTGTGTTATACATCAAGAGATAAGTAGGTCCAATGTAAATGACTTATATGGCTTACCACCATATAAACGTCTGTGTTATACATCAAGAGATAAGTAGGTCCAATGTAAATGACTTATATGGCTCACCACCATATAAACGTCTGTGTCATACATCAAGAGATAAGTTGGTCCAATGTAAATTAAACCAACTATTTACTTGTCACTTTTAGAGTTGCATGTGAAAAAGAATACAGTTTTTAGTCTGTTACGAGTACTGTATGCTGTTTTGTTTGTCATGAAATAATACAATGTTTGGTATTTTAGGACAAGTGTTTCATTACCTAAGCACAACCAGTGGTGTCTAAACTAGATCCCATCCTTCAAGATCATTGGCATATCCAAGTTTGCAAGTTTTTTTCCAGCTTTCCACTACATCAATATATCATTCCATTTCTTGAAATGTTGTTTTTTACCTTGTTCAGAATGTACGCCAAATGAAATTTAAAGAATTTCTAAGTGAGTACAATGTTTAGTCAAACAACCTGGCTGAAAAAGCTGATATGCAATAACATTTGCAAATCTTGCTGTTTTTGAGAAATTCTGTTACACCATTGATGTCTCTATAAACTTGGGGCACTGTGTCACTACCTTTAAAATAATTAACTAATAGGTGACTAAAATATAGAATGCAAACAGATAACATATTATGTATATACTTAACATTTATATCATCACATATTTGTATAAAGAGTTTCATTGGGACAATAATCTCATTGTTCTATGAAACTTGTGGTTCCTGGCAGATTTTCAGAGGTGAATACCTTTTAGACTTTTATCATAGAATTTTATGATTGAAGGCTAAAAAAAATTGCAAAGTAATCTTCACATTGTAACTCAACCAATACCTTCAATACTCAGTAATACAAGGCCCTCGCTGGCCTTTCCGTCGTCTTCGTGAAAACAGCTACTTACATTATTTTGCATGGAAATTTCAGCGAATACATAATTAATTTATGTGCGTTCCGTTTTTTGGGACACCTGTAGATGGACCTCTTCTGGTATCAGTTACTCTTCCTGTGAATGTGACATATTTTAACGAGCTCATTGATTTGTTCTCTGACGTACAGAGAATTTGTTCCTGAAAGTGAAATTTGTTTTAATACTTGTAAAACACTTTACTGTCTCCGAGATCTTGTATTTTTAACAAAGACTACGTACGATGTGTTGATCTTTTGACACTCTCAAATTATTTAGCATTGATGAAATATCGGAGACGAGTCTTCGATACAAAGTTTCCAAAGCATGACAGACTTCTCTTTGCCACAATTCCTTTACCACCTTTCCGTGATTTTGTTTGTTGCTAGGTGACAGCGTACATAACAGAGCTTCAAGCATCAGGATCAGTGACTGACAGCATGTCTGTTAAGTCAAGTTTAGAATGAACTGTTATAATTTGTGTTTGTCAACAACCATATGTGATGTTTTGTCTTCAAGAGTGACGGACGCTGAAGGAGGGAGAAAGTCACTATCTTACGTACGTATATTGATAATTTTATATTTGATAAAGAATGAGTAACACAACTAGTTACGACACCACGTAAATTGATCGAAATGATTTGACAAACCTCTCCCGTAGAAAATTTAGTCCATTGACCAGAACTATTTTCCAAAATATATAACCGTTCATTGCGAAGAAGTGTTGTTTTATTTGTTTATAAAACACAGAGTTTTATTTTTTTACTTTTAGATTGCCTTTGTCAAATCTCTCTTGTAAAATCAATAGCTCAGGTAGGATAATTGTCAGTTGTGGTTTACCATGCCTCAAAAGCAAGAGTAAAACTGTGTTCATTATCTTTTTTATTAAGTTATCACACAGGAAAGACACCATAGCAAACAGCTATCTCCAAGTAATGGTTAAAATACAGAAATCTAAATAACGATCTGTTGTCATAGTTGCGTTTTTAGCTAAAAGTACACTATAAAGATTATGAAGTAGTTGAAGATATTAAGTCAATAATTAAATTAGTAAAGCCTGCTCCCCAGTCACCCCATAACCCGCGCATACTTGTTCTTGATATCCCAATTGCAAAAATTCTTCTTCATACTTTATGTAAATATCGTAATATCAGAGAACGTAAGCATGGATAAAATAGAAAGTTTTATTTACAGATTTTGAAATATGAGCCAACAAAACTTCTACTACAATCTGTGTCGTTATTTTGCTATGAAACTTTACAAAAACTTCGCTCGTGAATTGTTCGTGTTAAATGTATGAGAGCTCCAAAACCTGGGGAGAGGTTTGTCATTCATATTACGTAAAGTCTTGTTCTTATCCAAAACTCACATAGCCACAATCACCCTCACCACCATTATCTTTATCACACACTAACCCTCACCATCATTTTTTATCCCAAACCATTTTTACCGTAATCCCCCAATCACCCTCACCACGTCCTTTATCCACATTACTCATTTTCATTATCCGTTCCTACTTAGAGTGATACCCATGACTGGATTACCGCTGACCAATGATGTTGCGCCCTTGGACAACAATGCTCCGAAGGGCATCATAGTATTAACAGGTGGTAAGGTAAGTGATTTCATTTTAGTGGTTACCTTTTTGATTCCTAGTATGAATTGTGTTTTATTTAAGAAATAAAAGATGTTTACTGTGCTTGCACAGGCTTATGCAAACCGAAGATTCGTTTGGGAGAACTTGAGAGCAGATCAGTGCAAGCCCGAGACCGAAGATCGAGAGTTGCACATGCTCGAGAGTTCTTACAAACGTCTTCTAGGTTTGCACAAGTCAGTGTAAACACGGAAAATATCTTTTATTTCTTTTATAAAATAACAATATTGCGAAACAGACGAACATTTTAATTTTTCCTCTAAAATGTATTCATGATCTATTTGCAAATTCTCATTGACTGGTTGATTGTTATGATTGATTTGATTGGTAGAGCTTAGACGTGTTTTGCACAGGCTAATGCAAACACAGCTCTAGACCAATCAGCGCACGTGTTTCATTGTGTTTATTTTATAATGTTTGATGAAAGACCGTTGTATGACAGAAGTACAAAGACTCTCATACACACGGGAATTCTAAAATTTTAGACACCGTACTTAATCATTGGAGCATATAAGTACTAGACATTTCGTCATACCAACCTACATGAATTTGAATTTTTGAAATATTTTAGATGACTAACTGCTAGTGATTTGGTCAACTACCTGCAAATTAGTAAGGGTAGAGCAAGATCATGTGTGCTCTATGGGATTGAGAGACCCTCGCATTAGATAAAATTTCACTCACTCGGGCACCGTCTTAGAACAATGCATGGCCAAAGCCAGAAGGGATTACTTATGGTATTTAATTTAAGATGCTGTATTCTTATACAAGTATCTTTAGTTTACAGCTGATGATTGTTTTCAACGAGTATTTGAGATGTGTTCCATGTAAAGGCAGGTTTTAGTTCAAAACCTCTCGAAAGTTATAAGCCAGGGGGACATTGGATTGGTATAACTCACAACCTGTTAATTTTAACACGTTCTATAAATATTTACCAGCAATGTGCGAGGTAGATTACATTGACATGAAAGGTTGAGGATTTTCAAATGATTTTGGAAAGGTTACGTGCCCAACAACCCTCTAAGAAAGGAACATTTTCATTGATGAACAAACAATAATGTCTCGGACTGATTATCGAAGCACATCATTGTTAGATGATGCAAAAGGCCAAGTTCTACTCTGGTTATGTCAGTTTTAAAAGCACTTCAACAACCTGCTCCAGTGGATGTTTCAAGTCCAAAGAAAATTGAGGTAGATAAGAAGAAAGAAGCATGTGTTAGTACGACAAATACACGACGTACTTTAAAAGTTATTGAACATGGGAAAACACGTATGTTGTTTCATTTTATGTAATACACATGTGTTTGCTTTTAACTTTGTGAGCAATTATTAGTTTTTCCAATTTTTTCGTAAGAGATATTTTAATTTTAACATGAATATATTTACATCATCGAGATGCGTTAGAAACGCGTTAAATTTCATCACCTTGTTAGTTATTCAGAGATGAAATGTAATGTGGAGTTACGACAGTCATTAGTATCCTTTAACCTCATTAGTATTTTCTATTTAGAGGATACTAATAAGGAAGTGAACAATAAAAAAACAATATCTTGTTAGTATTCTCTATATATGGATTAAAAATGAGATTTAGTGAATACCATTAAGCTTTAATTGTATTCCATTATTTTCACTCTATCTCCGCATTTTCCTTGAGCTTTAAAGCTTACATCACTTCTTGAACTTTAGCCACTATGCCATATGGAACATCAAAATACTGGACGCTGATTGGCCGAGTGACTTTGGCTGTGTTCTAATTCTAGATATCTGTAGATATGACGTCATTACTACGAAAATTTTTCTACCATTATTGACTGACGCCATTAAAAGCCGAATTTGAAAAAATCAAATAAAGTGATGTTTACCACAGTTTCTAAAACAATAAGCGAAAGATTTCGAACAAAATTGATGCAGAAAACACTAAAAAAGCGACGAAGCTGGTTTCGAACATATTTACAGCATATTTAAACAAGAAGAACTCGAAAAAACCGTTTGACAATTACAACTAAGGGCAGGTTTCGAAATGTTTTACATTGATGAGTGTAAATAATATTTCAGTTTGTTGAGGTGAATGATAAAACAATTATTCAATTCGTTTTCGCATGATATCAACAATTATTCATACCTCTGTCAACGTTATCCGTCCCAGCTTTGCTTCGGCAGATGACATTGACCTCGGTCTTAATAATTCTAGATATCATGCTCAACTTCATCTAATAACTGTTCATTATTTAAATATTAACTTGCTAAACTGAGGGACATTTTGCTGGTATATTTGTGTGTTATAATCTTTTCGTCCGAGGAATATTAAATTTCACTGTGTAGCACAAATCACTGTGACTGTCCCACTATCTTATAATGGTTTAAATGACAGAAAAATTACAGTCCATTGAAATGAAAAATATCAAATGTAGCCAAAACGCAAAACAAAAAAATGAAAGCCAAAATGTACTTTTTTGGACGTACAAAAACCAGGTTACAAACCCTAAACATGGCGACTGTATTATTGATGACGTCACGTTCCTCTCAAGAATACAAAGTTCTCAGACATAAAATTTCCTCGTTATTTTGTTGTCTGAGAGGAAACTGGAAAGGTGGCAAAATTTTCAATCTGAAGCTGCAATAACATTTTGTCATATTTATGTCATTTTAGCCAGTAAAAAGCAAGAATCTTATCACGTGCTTTCGTACGAGTATACACGTCGTAGATGGTCAAAGTACAGTACACCAACAGCTAATGGTGCAGTTTCCCCATTCTTGTAATTTTACCATGCATATAAAGTATGTCACGTTTTAAATTTTGTTGCGTATAATAATAATGGCAGTACTAACGAAAATTGATATCCAGTTTGGTGTAGTCTTAAGAAGTGATTGAATGTTGGTGTTATTAGGGTAAACCTACCACTAGTAGGTGCCCCTAGTGCGCATGTGTGAACGCTACTTATAAAACATATTCACGTAGGGTGACTCGCTTTCTAGGATAACCCTTCTGCTGGGGTTACCGTACCTCCATGTAAATAGTCTCTAAGCAAATTGCTTTTGTATATTTCATGGGAAATAGTCCAAACAAATTCAACGCATAATTTAATAATGATGTGAGCAAAGCCATGTAATATATTTGAAAAATACCATTTATATAAATAACATGTAAATATATAATTCTTAATTGGTGACCAAAGTTTGTGATAGACATGTGCTGTATATAGTATTTTATGATACAACTTGCAATATACAGTATATATATCATTAGAGTGAATCTGTGGAGAAATAATTTCTCAACAAGCTTTAAAGGTTTACACATTTAGCTTTACATATTTATCATCCAGTGTAAGCTACAAGAATTTTTAGTAAGTTATAACGTTTGATGCACGTTTTCTTACTTATACATACTTTTGTCCAAAAGGTAAAACTTCGGCTATGGACAAGTGTCGTGGCTCGTTCATTGAAGGAAGATATTTCCATGAAGAACTACATACCATTTTGAAACACTCCACTGATTTAAGATTTTCATGTTTATCATTCACACCTCCCATGACAACAATTGTATCACCTGTTATAACTGCACAACACCCATATCTCTTTTCCAACATGGATGGTAAGACTGTAATCTTACCTGTCTTAGTGTCATACATGATATTACTGTTCAACCTTTTTCTTCCATCATAACCTCCAAGGAGAACAACTTGATCTCTCCATTGAACTGTTGCCATTGCACACAATGGATGAGGTAATGGAGGCATTTCCTTAAATGTAAGAGTCCTTGGATCAAATTCCAAAACACTGGACAAAACTTTGCTATCTTTTCCCCATCCTCCAAAAATAAGAACTTTATCATCAACAACAACAGCTCCATGCCACGAACGTGGTTCAGGCATATGACACAACTCTTTCAAAACATTAGATGTTGTACCTGTAATCTTTATTTCACTGATCAGATCAGACATTCCTTTACCAAAAATGTATCCTCCAATGTGAAAGATTTGTTGTTTATAAACAACAGTTTGATGATCCCAACATTCATAAGGAAGCTTTGTGGGAAATATCTTCCATGTCAAAGGAAACTGTTTTATATTCAATGTCTCCATTGACATGCAGTTCACTCCTCCAACAACAAATAAATTATCATTATAAATAAATGATGAAGCTCTGTCGTGTTCATTTTCCATTGATGCAATATTAAACCATTTCTCTTCCTTCCATGAAAATATTTCAACACTCTTTAAGGAGTCATCTGAGTAACCTCCAGCAATCAAAATATCACCTTTTACAGAGTTCATCACCATTTCAATTGATGATGTCAATGTTTTAACATGTTGTTCATTTATATTTATCTTTTCCAACATTTGAAACATAATGGCTTTCATTTCTTTCATTTCTTTGGTCACTGCAGAAAGATTTTGCTGAACATCTTTTATTTCTTTCCTTGATTCCATCATTTCTTTGGTCACTGTAGAAAGATTTTGTTGAACATCTTTTATTTCTTTCCTTGATTCCATCATTTCTTTGGTCACTGTAGAAAGATTTTGTTGAACATCTTTTATTTCTTTCCTTGATTCCATCATTTCTTTGGTCACTGTAGAAAGATTTTGTTCAACATTTTCTACTAAAGATTCCATCATTTCTTTATACTGAGATGTCAATGGTTTCACGGAATGTTTTACTTCAAAAAATTTTTCGTCTATTTTCCTGCTTAAGTTGTTCATTTGCATTTCCATTTCCATTTTGTCTTCAAAACTTCGTTGAAACATTTCGCTAATCTCTCGAAAGTCGTGAGGAGCAATCTTTCTGTATTCACATAATTCAGTTTCATGTTTAATCTTGTCTCGTTTGTTTATTTCCAGACCACAACGTTCATTAGAACACAACACTGGAGCAAAGCCACAATTTTCAACATGTCTTTCAAGATATTCGACATTTATAAATTCAGGACAACCACGACTGGCGTAGTCGCAGTTGATCTTTAACTTTGAAATCACGTTATTTATAACACGCGCTGGATGAAGCGTAGCTACAGTTAAATCATCTTGACATTGAGGACATTTTTGTGCATTAACTCGTAGATGTTCTTCAATACATTCACGACAAAAATTGTGTTGATTATGGCACATTCTGGCATCTTTCATGACATTCAGACAAATGGAACAGTAAAATTTTCATCAACAACAGTCTTAAATCTCGATTCTTCATATCCACTTTCGTAAACATTAGGACGACAAGCCATTTCATACGTCTTCCTATACAATTTAATATCAAAATTGTAGTACAGCTGTTAATGAGAAAATTTTCACTTGAATGATACAAGGGTAAAACTTTCTTATAGTCTTACCTTGCCTCAAAATTTTGATATAGGGCTATCAATTGAGTTCTATTAGACTCAATGGGGCTATCCCATATTTTACATTTACAACGCGTTCTGCGCATGTCGTGTTTGATGACGTTACAGTAGTAAAAAAACAAAAGTTCTGAGTCATCGCAATTTCTCCGTATATTCTTATATAACAGCTAAAGACGATAGAAAAATTATATTACAACTTTTGCTTTTGAGGAAAACATTCTGAAATATTCTACATTAAAGGACACATGCAAGATAGAAGACAACTTTATTTTATTGTAATGCCTACGGCGTGAAAATAAAACGTACCAAGTTTCAAAGTCGTCCGCAAAATATTTCAAAAGATATTTAGGGTTATAATCGATAAAAACACGATGTTCGATGACCATTGCTAAAACGCCGTGAGATTGTTGAAGTCTGGGAACTGGGAATGAGTGACGTAATAGTTGACATAAACAAGCATTTTTCTTATATCGTTCTACGACTAGCACAACTTTCGGTAGTTTGCTATTAAGGTAGTTTGCTAGTTATTTGTTTTTTATTTAACAAAAATTAATGGATTCTTCTTTTGAATAAGCCGATTATGATATTTTCATCAATAACAATGAGGTACAACCTTGCATGTTTGAGCCTTTGGCCAACGCGCAAGGTGGTCATAGTAATGACAATTCTCCGTCATCGGAAGATGAATACATTCACAGATTTGGAAATGTTGAATGGTTAGTTGCATTTTATGGATGCTTCATTGTTTTTCCCAGAGTAAAAAGAATGTTTTTATCTTTTAGGTGCGAGTGTGGCTTTTGTGTGGTCATGAGTACAGGACGGGAAAGTATATGTTGCCAAGAGGTAAGCAACACTGATCCTCTGATACATGGCGATCATATTTGCATCACACAAGAGGAAGAGTTTGCCACAGTGTGTACAAACGAAGCCGTCATAAAAACATCTATGGTCGTGTACACACATGACATTGGACCTATACCTGAGAGTGAAGAAAACGAGTAAATATTACCTTAGAAGTATAATTACGTGTATGTCGAGAAGTGTATAATGCCGATAAGTATCTTAGACAAAATTTTGTATCTTTCAAGAAACATTACGCTACACGTTGTACCGACAGTGGACGGCTTGGGTGCATGGCAGGTTGGGAAAAAAGTACAGACTACCCATACCTTCTTGTGCTGGAGACAAAATCCGGAAAGCATTTCCTTCGCCTTCTGGAGAATACAAAGGATTTGAATATGCTCAACACTACTGAATGGTAGGGCTTATGGCGTATGACAAAATCTGTTCATTTGTAATTATGTTTATTTCATGTGGAACGCTATTTCTATTATCTTTTTATATATAAAAGCGACATTTATGTTGCTTAATGGCTTCAGCTTTGCTGATTTTTGATTTGTGGCAAGTCAATGGGACAGGTATTTCTTTCACTCCAGACATGAAGAGCTTCGGACAGTGTTGGATTAATGCGTCTGCAGTACAAAACTTCTTTCATCAAGTCCTTAACATATCCTGAAAAGCAAATCATTATTTATGTTGGCTTTGCATTGCACTTTGAGAAAAAGTAAGTTTATTTTTCTGTGCTAACCATAAGTGCTGTCAATTTTCACTGGTTTGATATCCCCTTGCCCTTCTTTTGAATTTGAATAAGCCACTCTCCAAATCAATTCCTCTTCTGTTTCCCCATCATTCTTCATTTTATGAGCTTTGTTTCCATTCTCATTGAAATGAAGAGCAGCAATAAACAATCTACAAATGAATGTTAAGTTTATGTTTACAACTATTGCAACTTATTGCTTTTGCAATGATGACTTTTTTTAAGTAATCATACACAAATCATTTTATATTACCTTGCTTACATTGATCTGTAGAAAAATTAAGTATGTTTTGGTGCAAAAAGAATTACCACTCGGTGGAAACCTTTGATGGATGAAGTCTGCTTTTGATAACTGAGTTTTCCATTATCTGTCATGAGATACTTGGACTCAACAATCGAAGACAGCTCAACATAAGCTTTTGAACCTAAGATCAGAAGTTAGTTAACAAAAAAAAAGAATGTTGATGTTACTTTGAAATTTATTTGCTTACAATACCTTTTTTTATCCACATTCTAGGCTCTAACATATCATATTCACATTTTGGGAATACATCACTATGTCCCTCATGGATGTCACATATATGGTTGAGAACTGACAACCACTTTGCCTTGACAAGTTCTTCATCACCATTGCTGGAAGCAGCACACCAGTATACATGGTTGGAAATTGATTGGGCCCAATCTGACAATAATTTGCAACCACTTTTTTTTGATGCTGCCCAAATGTTCTTTTTAATTCCTGTTGGATTTTGATTATTGATGAAATGTGTAAAAGGTTGGTTTGTTATTACAATCTATACCTTTTGCTACATGCCATACATCAAAGTAGTGCTCGATTTTTGGTCTTTGTTTTGACATGTAGGATTTGATTTGAGCATGTCTGTCTGTGGTCATTGACTTCACCTTCATCCCACTTTCATCAAACTTTGCCAGACATCTTTTTAATCCCTCAAGTTCCATTGCTCCAGAGTTGGTCACTTCATTGGACTGTTTAACATAATTATGTGAGTATTCTAATCATGTTTTATGTACAGTTGTTGAAGAATTGTTACCTGAACAAGTTGTGTGTCTAAAATGTTGTTAGATTCCAAATCCATGCAGCTATATGACCCATACTTGGCAGTATCCAGGCGAATCACATCTTCCATCTCCTCCAAGGTTAATGTTCCTTTCTCTGATTGATTCTAGAAGATGCTTTTGGTTCATATGCCAAACATTTGAAACACTGGGTATCAAATACGCTGTTTGAATATAGCTATATGTACACTCTGACAGAAATTGTATGCCTGAGTGACGAAGGAATTGAAGAACTTTGCTGGGGCTACTACCACTAAACAAGATGCTGGCAGCAAAGACCAAGTTACCCAAAGGCATTCGCCCATGCAGAGGTTGGCTATTCCAGTCTCGAACATAACCACAATGACATTTTGCTAGTACGTTAACCATACTACCAGTCGTTTTGGTCACAATGGAACAGCTTTCACCACAACATGGGCATTGACTCACTAACTGTCTCAGGCAACTATCAAACACTATGTATTTTCTCTCATTTTGAACATCTTCCCTATAACATAAAAATTACCATCAGAATCAGAGAGAGATAAACGTAACGTTCTGAGAAACATAGAACAGAGAAAAGCAATGTAAAGAATAGTCAGGTGACTGGATAGTTGGTACTAACGTTGCATTGTCATTGTTGGATTCTTCATTTTCGCTTAACTCATTTGAACATTGAGAGTCAGATCCATTGTTGCTATTGCTCATCGTCGACGTGCTTTCTGTATAAGACCATACAGCGCTATCCTCAAAATGTTCAATTTCACATGACGTCGTCTGTGTGCTGTGATTTTTTGTTGAAATGAACTCAACCTCCGTACCTTAGCATAAAATTATCGTATTGCTGGATTTTTCACAAAAATCAAAACGGCCGGAATGGAAAGTCTATACCTCTACTTATCATATTTGGCACTTTTGTTTGAGTGGTTCTTGACCTTACGTGTTTTTGCGGACGGATTGTTATGGCTGCTTGGCATTTCACATTGCGCTTCTAAGGTACGTTAAGGAATTTTTTATGAGTTAAAATAACAAAGAAAAGATCAAACGACATTAGTCTGAATTAGTTACCACTGTATAAGTTTGTGTTTCGCTGTCTACATATATTTTGACATCATTCATCTTAGACAAACTTCCTTTGAGGTAAAACGCACAAACATTTCGAGCCGATGTCGACACATCGTGGTCGTCGTCTACAAGAAAGTCGTCATGTTCTGCAAGAACGTCGTCAATAATCTAAAATTATAAAATTGTCTTCAATTTGGTAATGCTATATAGCTTAGTTTTTGATAAATGTAAACAAATATTGCTAACTATAACTATAATATTCACCTCTTGCCTTCGTCTCTTCTCAAATGCAGTTCTAACATTTGTTGGCTGCTTCCTTTTAGATGCTACACTTGTGGGTTCCACAGAGTATTCAAAATCGTGGGTACAGCATCCTTCTTAAGGCGAAGCCGTCCTGCTGTCCATCCTACTGATTGCATCGCTTCAAAATTTTGCACGAAGCACGAACTCTCGAAATGTTGCGAGCACAATTTTGAGCTCTTTGTTGGCTTCAATTTTTGCGTCGGATTTTTCAATCCAAATATCCCGCATGCGCTTGTTTTCGGGAAACGAAAAAAAAGAAACCTTTTGCTGTGTTTCGTGGTTCTTAGAAGAACCGTTTTTACAATTAAATGCGGCACAATAAACCATATTTTCAATGCTAAATTGTCGTGTTGTTAAGAAGTTACCAATATATTTTGAACGAAGCACGCAATTGACCGCGTTTAGCTAATCTCAACTATTACGTCACAACGACATCGGTAGCTGTCGCTAGTTCTTCGGGCATTTTCAATACGTTATCAGTAAAGCATCAACTTTAAACCTCCATATCTTCAAAAATATTTATCCTTTGAGTCTCAAACTTTGGTGAACTATTAGTTGTAGCTATACCTTCATGTAAAGTACAAAAATAACAATCCGAATTTTATGTTGCATGTGTCCTTTAACCATATATGATGCAGATGAGCAAGTAACTTCAACTAATAAAGTGATGAAGAAAGCGTTTGGACGAGCAGGAACTTTTATTCTTAATGCCCATACATTGGCTATTAAAATGTCGAACTGCGGTCACTAAAGAGACCAGTTAACGATAAAGAAGCACGAATCGAAATCATTCAATACTTGCGTACTTTTGATTTGATCTCAAACTAGCTTTGCTTCCATTCATCACAGATAAAGAGCGTCAAAAATTTCAGCGCACATTGACTTGAAAGAATGCAGCGAGCAGTCTTGATCTGGAACATTCATTGATCTAAATATTACGAGAGTAGTGACATTTTGCAAAACAATATGAATTCCATGCTTGTAAATGTAGATTGTCCAGGTTGGTATAGTCCTGAGAAGGACTGTTTTTGTTGTTGTTGACTGACGTATCGACAACCTTAGCGGTTGTCATCTTCAGAGTCATTTACTTTAATACCAATTCCGTTTCGCCGTTTTCCAACGTGTCGCATATTTCGGCATTTCATAAAGAGCACCAGATATTGCCCATAGCAAAATAGTAATTTCAATATGAATAACTAACAATACAGACAAACCCTCGTGAGTCATGACAGCGGTAATTTTATCGCAGATCGATAAATAACTGTTACATGATGTCTATACTTAAAAAAGTGGTACCATAAACTGCGTAACATGAAGTCCATGAAATGATACAAGGTGTTTGAATATAACAAGGATGAAACGAGAAATCACTTTTTAACCCTCTAGAAACCGTTGCTTCCCACGAGCAGCACTCGCCAAACGAGATGTGTGCAAACTTTCGAAAATGTCCGGCTTCTAGAGGGTTAAAGCGTTAATTCACTTATTGTTTCCATGCTGAAAGATTCCAAAAAAGATTCAAAAGTTCTTCCATCAATGATTCGGCAGATGACATTGACCTCGGTCTGAATAATTCTAGATATCATGCTCAACCTCATCCAATAACTGTTTATTATTAAAATATTAACTTGCTAAACTGAGGGCATTTTGCTGGTATATTTGTGCTTTATAATCGTTTTTCCGAGGAACATTAAATTTCACTGTGTAGCACAAATCATTGTGACTGTCCCACCATCTTATAATGGTTTAAATGATAGAAAAATTACAGTCCATTGAAATGAAAAAGATTAAATGCAGCCAAAACGCAAAACAAAAATGAAAGCCAAAATGTACTTTTTGGACGTACAAAAAGGTTACAAACCCTAAACATGGCGACTGTATTATTGATGACGTCACGTTCCTCTCAAGAATACAAAGTTCTCAGACATAAAATTTCCTCGTTATTTTGTTGTCTGAGAGGAAACTGGAAAGGTGGCAAAATTTTCAATCTGAAGGTGCAATAACAATTTGTCATATTTATGTCATTTTAGCCAGTAAATAGCAAGAAATTTATCACGTGCTTTCGTACGAGTATACACGTCGTAGATGGTCAAAGTACAGTACACCAACAGCTAATGGTGCAGTTTCCTCATTCTTGTAATTTTACCATGCATATAAAGTATGTCACGTTTTAAATTTTGTTGCGTATAATAATAATGGCAGTACTAACGAAAATTGATATCCAGTTTGGTGTAGTCTTAAGAAGTGATTGAATGTTGGTGTTATTAGGGTAAACCTACCACTAGTAGGTGCCCCTAGTGCGCATGTGTGAACGCTACTTATAAAACATATTCGTAGGGTGACTCGCTTTCTAGGATAACCCTTCTGCTGGGGTTACCGTACCTCCATGTAAATAGTCTCTAAGCAAATTGCTTTTGTATATTTCATGGGAAATAGTCCAAACAAATTCAACGCATAATTTAATAATGATGTGAGCAAAGCCATGTAATATATTTGAAAAATGCCATTTATATAAATAACATGTAAATATATAATTCTTAATTGGTGACCAAAGTTTGTGATAGACATGTGCTGTATATAGTATTTTATGATACAACTTGCAATATACAGTATATATATCATTAAAGTGAATCAGTGGAGAAATAATTTCTCAACAGGCTTTAAAGGTTTACACATTTAACTTTACATATTTATCATCCAGTGTAAGCTACAAGAATTTTAGTAAGTTATAACGTTTGATGCACGTTTTCTTACTTATACATACTTTTGTCCAAAAGGTAAAACTTCGGCTATGGACAAGTATCGTGGCTCGTTCATTGAAGGAAGATATTTCCATGAAGAACTACATCCCATTTTGAAACACTCCACTGAATTAAGATAATTACCTTTATCATTCACACCTCCCATGACAACAATTGTATCATCTGTTATAACTGCACAACAACAGGATCTCTTTTCCAACATGGATGGTAAGACTGTAATCTTACCTGTCTTAGTGTCATACATGATAACACTGTTCAACCTTTCTTTTCCATCATAACCTCCAAGAAGAACAACTTGATCTCTCCATTGAACTGTTGCCATTTGAGTCAATGGATGAGGTAATGGAGGCATTTCCTTAAATGTAAGAGTCCTTGGATCAAACTCCAAAACACTGGACAAATATTTGCTATCTTTTCCCTCTCCTCCAAAAATAAGAACTTTATCATCAACAACAACAGCTCCATGGCTATAACGTGGTTCAGGAATATGACACAACTCTTTCAAAACATTAGATGTTGTGCCAGTAACCTTTATTTCACTGATCAAATCTGAATATCCTTTACCATCAATGTATCCTCCAATGTGAAAGATTTGTTGTTTATAAACAACAGTTTGATGAGCATAACATTCATAAGGAAGCTTTGTGGGAAATGTCTTCCATGTCAAAGGAAACTGTTTTATATTCAATGTCTCCATTGACTCGCAGTCAAATCCTCCAACAACAAATAAATTATCATCATAAATAAATGATGAAGCCTTCTTGTGTTCATTTTCCATTGATGCAATCTTAAACCATTTCTCCTCCTTCCATGAAAATATTTCAACACTCTTTGAGGAACCATGTAAGTGACCTCCAGCAATCAAAATATCACCTTTTACAGAGTTCATGACCATTTCAATTGATGATGTCAATGTTTGAACATGTTGTTCATTTATATTCATCTTTTCCAACATTTGAAACATCATGGCTTTCATTTCTTTCATTTCTTTGGTCACAGTAGAAAGATTTTGTTGAACATCTTTTATTTCTTTCCTTGATTCCATCATTTCTTTGGTCACTGTAGAAAGATTTTGTTGAACATCTTTTATTTCTTTCCTTGATTCCATCATTTCTTTGGTCACTGTAGAAAGATTTTGTTGAACATCTTTTATTTCTTTCCTTGATTCCATCATTTCTTTGGTCACTGTAGAAAGATTTTGTTGAACATCTTTTATTTCCATCATTTCTTTGGTCACTGTAGATTCATCATTCCATCATTTCTTTGGTCACTGTAGAAAGATTTTGTTGAACATCTTTTATTTCTTTGATCCAGTGATTCCATCATTTCTTTGGATTCCATCATTTCTTTGTCACTGTAGAAAGATTTTGTTCAACATTTTCTACTACAGATTCCATCATTTCTTTATACTGAGATGTCAATGGTTTCACGGAATCTTTTACTTCAAAAAATTTTTCGTCTATTTTCCTGCTTAAGTTGTTCATTTGCATTTCCATTTTGTCTTCAAAACTTCGTTGAAACATTTCGCTAATCTCTCGAAAGTCGTGAGAAGCAATCTTTCTGTATTCACATAATTCAGTTTCATGTTTAATCTTGTCTCGTTTGTTTATTTCCAGACCACAACGTTCATTAGAACACAACACTGGAGCAAAGCCACAATTTTCAACATGTCTTTCAAGATCTTCGACATTTATAAATTCAGGACAACCACGACTGGCGTAGTCGCAGTTGATCTTTAACTTTGAAATCATATTATTTATAACACGCGCTGGATGAAGCGTAGCTACAGTTAAATCATCTTGACATTGAGGACATCTTTGTGCATTAACTCGTAGATGTTCTTCAATACATTCACGACAAAACTGTGTTGATTATGGCACATTCTGGCATCTTTCATGACATTCAGACAAATTGAACAGTAAAATTTTCATCAACAACAGTCTTAAATCTCGATTCTTCATATCCACTTTCGTAAACATTAGGACGACAAGCCATTTCATACGTCTTCCTATACAATTTAATATCAAAATTGTAGTACAGCTGTTAATGAGAAAATTTTTCACTTGAATGATACAAGGGTAAAACTTTCTTATAGTCTTACCTTGCCTCTTAAGACAAAATTTTGATATAGGGCTATCAATTGAGTTCTATTAGACTCAATGGGGCTATCCCATATTTTACATTTACAACGCGTTCTGCGCATGTCGTGTTTGATGACGTTAACAGTAGTAAAAAACAAACAAAAGTTCTGAGTCATCGCAATTTCTCCGTATATTCTTATATAACAGCTAAAGACGATAGAAAAATTATATTACAACTTTTGCTTTTGAGGAAAACATTCTGAAATATTCTACATTAAAGGACACATGCAAGATAGAAGACAACTTTATTTTATTGTAATGCCTACGGCGTGAAAGTAAAACGTACCAAGTTTCAAAGTCGTCCGCAAAATATTTCAAAAGATATTTAGGGTTATAATCGATAAAAACACGATGTTCGATGAACATTGCTAAAACGCCGTGAGATTGTTGAAGTCTGGGAACTGGGAATGAGTGACGTAATAGTTGACATAAACAAGCATTTTTCTTATATCGTTCTACGACTAGCACAACTTTCGGTAGTTTGCTATTAAGGTAGTTTGCTAGTTATTTGTTTTTTATTTAACAAAAATTAATGGATTCTTCTTTTGAATAAGCCGATTATGATATTTTCATCAATAACAATAAGGTACAACCTTGCATGTTTGAGCCTTTGGCCAACGCGCAAGGTGGTCATAGTAATGACAATTCTCCGTCATCGGAAGATGAATACATTCACAGATTTGGAAATGTTGAATGGTTAGTTGCATTTTATGGATGTTTCATTGTTTTTCCCAAAGTAAAAGGAATGTTTTTATCTTTTAGGTGCGAGTGTGGCTTTTGTGTGGTCATGAGTACAGGACGGGAGAGTATATATGTTGCCAAGAGGTAAGCAACACTGATCCTCTGATACATGGCGATCATATTTGCATCACACAAGAGGAAGAGTTTGCCACAGTGTGTACAAACGAAGCTGTCATAAAAACAGTTATGGTCGTGTACACACATGACATTGGACCTATACCTGAGAGCGAAGAAAACGAGTAAATATTACCTTAGAAGTATAATTACGTGTATGTCGAGAAGTGTATAATGCCGATAAGTATCTTAGACAAAATTTTGTATCTTTCAAGAAACATAACGCTACACGTTGTACCGACAGTGGACGGCTTGGGTGCATGGCAAGTTGGGAAAAAAGTACAGACTACCCATACCTTCTTGTGCTGGAGACAAAATCCGGAAAGCATTTCCTTCGCCTTCTGGAGAATACAAAGGATTTGAATATGCTCAACACTACTGAATGGTAGGGCTTATGGCGTATGACAAAGTCTGTTCATTTGTAATTATGTTTATTTCATGTGGAACGCTATTTCTATTATCTTTTTATATAGAAGCGACATTTATGTTGCTTAATGGCTTCAGCTTTGCTGATTTTGATTTGTGGCAAGTCAATGGGACAGGTATTTCTTTCACTCCAGACATCAAGAGCTTTGGACAGTGTTGGATTAATGCGTCTGCAGTACAAAACTTCTTTCATCAAGTCCTTAACATATCCTGAAAAGCAAATCATTATTTATGTTGGCTTTGCATTGCACTTTGAGAAAAGTAAGTTTATTTTTCTGTGCTAACCATAAGTGCTGTCAATTTTCACTGGTTTGATATCCCTTGCCCTTCTTTTGAATTTGAATAAGCCACTCTCCAAATCAATTCCTCTTCTGTTTCCCATCATTCTTCATTTTATGAGCTTTGTTTCCATTCTCATTGAAATGAAGAGCAGCAACAAACAATCTACAAATGAATGTTAAGTTTATGTTTACAACTATTGCAACTTATTGCTTTTGCAATGATGACTTTTTTTAAGTAATCATACACAAATCATTTTATATTACCTTGCTTACATTGATCTGTAGAAAAAATTAAGTATGTTTTGGTGCAAAAAGAATTACCACTCGGTGGAAACCTTTGATGGATGAAGTCTGCTTTTGATAACTGAGTTTTCCATTATCTGTCATGAGATACTTGGACTCAACAATCGAAGACAGCTCAACATAAGCTTTTCAACCTAAGATCAGAAGTTAGTTAACAACAAAAAAGAATGTTGATGAGACTTTGAAATTTATTCGCTTACAATACCTTTTTTTATCCACATTCTAGGCTCTAACATATCATATTCACATTTTGGGAATACATCACTATGTCCCTCATGGATGTCACATATATGGTTGAGAACTGACAACCACTTTGCCTTGACAAGTTCTTCATCACCATTGCTGGAAGCAGCACACCAGTATACATGGTTGGAAATTGATTGGGCCCAATCTGACAATAATTTGCAACCACTTTTTTTTTATGCTGCCCAAATGTTCTTTTTTAATTCCTGTTGGATTTTGATTATTGATGAAATGTGTAAAAGGTTGGTTTGTTATTACAATCTATACCTTTTGCTACATGCCATACATCAAAGTAGTGCTTGATTTTTGGTCTTTGTTTTGACATGTAGGATTTGATTTGAGCATGTCTGTCTGTGGTCATTGACTTCACCTTCATCCCACTTTCATCAAACTTTGCCAGACATCTTTTTAATCCCTCAAGCTCCATTGCTCCAGAGTTGGTCACTTCATTGGACTGTTTAACTTAATTATGTGAGTATTCTAACCATGTTTTATGTACAGTTGTTGAAGAATTGTTACCTGAACAAGTTGTGTGTCTAAAATGTTGTTAGATTCAAAATCCATGCAGCTATATGACCCATACTTGGCACAATATCCAGGAAATCACATCTTCCATCTCTTCCAAGGTTAATGTTTCTTTTGTTAATTTATTATTAAAGCAGAAACAAAACAACATATATTTAATTATTTAAGTTACATAATGAGCGTTGTCCTAAACCATGCGGTATTGAGCAGAACAGAAAATAATAATTAGCATACAATAAGAAGTGCTTACCAGATCATGTGACTAGTACTATGATCAGATATCTTATACTTAGTTTAATACACATATAATGTATCGTCATTCCTAACACCTTTCTCTGATTGATTCTAGAAGATGCTTTTGGTGCATATGCCAAACATTTGAAACACAGCAGGGGTATCAAATACGCTGTTTGAATATAGCTATATGTGTGCTCTGACAGAAATTGTATGCTTGAGTGACGAAAGAATTGAAGAACTTTGCTGGGGCTACAACCACTAAACAAGATGCTGGAAGCAAAGACCAAGTTGCCCAAAGGCATTCGCCCATGCAGAGGTTGGCTATTGCAGTCTCGAACATAACCACAATGACATTTTGCTAGTACGTTAACCATACTACCAGTCGTTTTGGTCACAATGGAACAGCTTTCACCACAACATGGGCATTGACTCACTAACTGTCTCAGGCAACTATCAAACACTATGTATTTTCTCTCATTTTGAACGTCTTCCCTATAACATAAAAATTACCATCAGAATCAGAGAGAGATAAACGTAACGTTCTGAGAAACATAACAGAGAAAAGCAATGTAAAGAATAGTCAGGTGACTGGATAGTTGGTACTAACGTTGCATTGTCATTGTCGGATTCTTCATTTTCGCTTAACTCATTTGAACATTGAGAGTCAGATCCATTGTTGCTATTGCTCATCGTCGACGTGCTTTCTGTATCAGACCATACAGCGCTATCCTCAAAATGTTCAATTTCACATGACGTCGTCTGTGTGCTGTGATTTTTTGTTGAAATGAACTCAACCTCCGTACCTTAGCATAAAATTATCGTATTGCTGGATTTTTCACAAAAATCAAAACGGCCGGAATGGAAAGTCTATACCTCTACTTATCATATTTGGCACTTTTGTTTGAGTGGTTCTTGACCTTACGTGTTTTTGCGGACGGATTGTTATGGCTGCTTGGCATTTCACATTGCGCTTCTAAGGTACGTTAAGGAATTTTTTATGATTTAAAATAACAAAGAAAAGATCAAACGACATTAGTCTAAATTAGTTACCACTGTATAAGTTTGTGTTTCGCTGTCTACATATATTTTGACATCATTCATCTTAGACAAACTTCTATTGAGGTAAAACGCACAAACATTTCGAGTCGATGTCGACACATCGTGGTCGTCGTCTACAAGAAAGTCGTCATGTTCTGCAAGAACGTCGTCAATAATCTAAAATTATAAAATTGTCTTCAATTTGGTAATGCTATATAGCTTAGTTTTTGATAAATGTAAACAAATATTGCTAACTATAACTATAATATTCACCTCTTGGCTCTTGCCTTCGCCTCTTCTCAAATGCAGTTCTAACATTTGTTGGCTGCTTCCTTTTAGATGCTACACTTGTGGGTTCCACAGAGTATTCAAAAATCGTGGGTACAGCATCCTTCTTAAGGCGAAGCCGTCCTGCTGTCCATCCTACTGATTGCATCCCTTCAAAATTTTGCACGAAGCACGAACTCTCGAAATGTTGCGAGCACAATTTTGAGCTCTTTGTTGGCTTCAAATTTTTTCGTCGGATTATTTCAATCCAAATATCCCGCATACGCTTGTTTTCGGGAAACGAAAAAAAAGAAACCTTTTGCTGTGTTTCGTGGTTCTTAGAAGAACCGTTTTTACAATTAAATGCGGCACAATAAACCATATTTTCAATGCTAAATTGTCGTGTTGTTAAGAAGTTACCAATATATTTTGAACGAAGCGCGCAATTGACCGCGTTTAGCTAATGTCAACTATTACGTCACAACGACATCGGTAGCTGTCGCTAGCTCGTCGGGCATTTTCAATACGTTATCAGTAAAGCATCAACTTTAAACCTCAATATCTTCAAAAATATTTATCCTTTGAGTCTCAAACTTTGGTGAACTATTAGTTGTAGCTATACCTTCATGTAAAGTACAAAATAACAATCCGAATTTTATGTTGCATGTGTCCTTTAACCATATATGATGCAGATGAGCAAGTAACTTCAACTAATAAAGTGATGAAGAAAGCGTTTGGACGAGCAGGAACTTTTATTCTTAATGCCCATACATTGGCTATTAAAATGTCGAACTGCGGTCACTAAAGAGACCAGTTAACGATAAAGAAGCACGAATCGAAATCATTCAATACTTGCGTACTTTTGATTTGATCTCGAACTTAGCTTTGCTTCCATTCATCACTGATAAAGAGCGTCCAAAATTTCAGCGCACATTGACTTGAAAGAATGCAGCGAGCAGTCTTGATCTGGAACATTCATTGATCTAAATGTTACGAGAGCTGTGACATTTTGCAAAACAATATGAATTCCATGCTTGTAAATGTAGATTGTCCAGGTTGGTATAGTCCTGAGAAGGACTGTTTTTGTTGTTGTTGACTGACGTATCGACAACCTTAGCGGTAGTCATCTTCAGAGTCATTTACTTTAATAAGAATTCCGTTTCGCCGTTTGCCAACGTGTCACATATTTCGGCATTTCATAAAGAGCACCAGATATTGCCCATAGCAAAATAGTAATTTCAATACGAATAACTAACAATACAGACAAACCCTCGTGAGTCATGACGGCTGTAATTTTATCTTAGATAGATAAACAACTGTTATATGAAGTCTACACTTAAAAAGTGGTACCATAAACTGCGTAACATGAAGTACATGAAATGATGCAAGGTGTTTGAATATAACAAGGATGAAACGAGAAATCACTTTTTAACCCTCTAGAAACCGTTGCTGCCCACGAGCAGCACTCACCAAACGAGATGTGTGCAAACTTTCGAAAATGTCCGGCTTCTAGAGGGTTAAAGCGTTAATTCACTTATTGTTTCCATGCTGAAAGATTCCAAAAAAGATTCAAAAGTTCTTCCATCAATGATTCGGCAGATGACATTTACCTCGGTCTGAATAATTCTAGATATCATGCTCAACCTCATCCAATAACTGTTTATTATTAAAATATTAACTTGCTAAACTGAGGGGCATTTTGCTGGTATATTTGTGCTTTATAATCGTTTTTTCCGAGGAACATTAAATTTCATTGTGTAGCACAAATCATTGTGACTGTCCCACCATCTTATAATGGTTTAAATGATAGAAAAATTACAGTCCATTGAAATGAAAAAGATCAAATGCAGCCAAAACGGAAAATAAAAAAATGAAAGCCAAAATGTACTTTTTTGGCCATACAAAAACCAGGCTACAAACCCTAAACATGGCGACTGTATTATTGATGACGTCACGTTCACATCAAGAATATAAAGTTCTCAGACATAAAATTTCCTCGTTATTTTGTTGTCTGAGAGGAACCTGGAAAGGTGGCAAAATTTTCAATCTGAAGGTGCAATAACAATTTGTCATATTTATGTCATTTTAGCCAGTAAATAGCAAGAAATTTATCATGTGCTTTCGTACAAGTATACACGTCGTAGATGGTCAAAGTACAGTACACCAACAGCTAATGGTGCAGTTTCCTCATTCTTGTAATTTTACCATGCATATAAAGTATGTCACGTTTTAAATTTTGTTGCGTATAATAATAATGGCAGTACTAACGAAAATTGATATCCAGTTTGGTGTAGTCTTAAGAAGTGATTGAATGTTGGTGCTATTAGTGCAAGCCTACCACAAGGGTGCCCCTAGCGCGCATGTGTGAACGCTACTTATAAAACATATTCACGTAGGGTGACTCGCTTTCTAGGATAACCCTTCTGCTGGGGTTACCGTACCTCCATGTAAATAGTCTCTAAGCAAATTGCTTTTGTATATTTCATGGGAAATAGTCCAAACAAATTCAACGCATAATTTAATAATGATGTAAGCAAAGCCATGTAATATATTTGAAAAATGCCATTTATATAAATAACATGTAAATATATAATTCTTAATTGGTGACCAAAGTTTGTGATAGACATGTGCTGTATATAGTATTTTATGATACAACTTGCAATATACAGTATATATATCATTAAAGTGAATCAGTGGAGAAATAATTTCTCAACAGGCTTTAAAGGTTTACACATTTAACTTTACATATTTATCATCCAGTGTAAGCTACAAGAATTTTTAGTAAGTTATAACGTTTGATGCACGTTTTCTTACTTATACATACTTTTGTCCAAAAGGTAAAACTTCGGCTATGGACGCATATCGTGGCTCGTTCATTGAAGGAAGATATTTCCATGAAGAACTACATCCCATTTTGAAACACTCCACTGAATTAAGATAATTACCTTTATCATTCATACCTCCCATGACAACAATTGTATCATCTGTTATAACTGCACAACAACAGGATCTCTTTTCCAACATGGATGGTAAGACTGTAATCTTACCTGTCTTAGTGTCATACATGATAACACTGTTCAAATATTTTCTTCCATCACGACCTCCAAGAAGAACAATTTGATCTCTCCATTGAACTGTTGCCATGTCAGTCAATGGATGAGGTAATGGAGGCATTTCCTTAAATGTAAGAGTCCTTAGACCAAATTCCAAAACACTGGACAAATGTTTCCAATCTTTTCCCTGTCCTCCAAAAATAAGAACTTTATCATCAACAACAACAGCTCAATGGTCATCCCGTGCTTCAGGCATATGACACAACTCTTTAAAAACATGAGATGTTGCACCTGTAATCTTTATTTAACTGATCAAATCTGAACTTTTACCACCAATGTGTCCTCCAATGTGAAAGATTTGTTGTTTATAAACAACAGTTTGATGACCCTCACAGTCATAAGGAAGCTCTGTGGGAAATGTCTTCCATGTCAAAGGAAACTGTTTTATATTCAATGTCTCCATTGACTTGCAGAACGCTCCTCCAACAACAAATAAATTATCATTATAAATAAATGATGAAGCCCAACTGTGTTCATTTTCCATTGATGCAACATTAAACCATTTCTCCTCCTTCCATGAAAATATTTCAACACTCTTTGAGGAATCACCTAAGTAACCTCCAGCAATGAAAATATCACCTTTTACAGAGTTCATCACCATTTCAATTGATGATGTCAATGTTTGAACATGTGGTTCATTTATATTCATCTTTTCCAACATTTGAAACATCATGGCTTTCATTTCTTTCATTTCTTTGGTCACAGTAGAAAGATTTTGTTGAACATCTTTTATTTCCTTCCTTGATTCCATCATTTCTTTGGTCACTGTAGAAAGATTTTGTTGAACATTATTTATTTCTTTCCTTGATTCCATCATTTCTTTGGTCACTGTAGAAAGATTTTGTTGAACATCTTTTATTTCTTTCCTTGATTCCATCATTTCTTTGGTCACTGTAGAAAGATTTTGTTGAACATCTTTTATTTCTTTCCTTGATTCCATCATTTCTTTGGTCACTGTAGAAAGATTTTGTTGAACATCTTTTATTTCTTTCCTTGATTCCATCATTTCTTTGGTCACTGTAGAAAGATTTTGTTCAACATTTTCTACTACAGATTCCATCATTTCTTTATACTGAGATGTCAATGGTTTCACGGAATCTTTTACTTCAAAAAATTTTTCGTCTATTTTCCTGCTTAAGTTGTTCATTTGCATTTCCATTTTGTCTTCAAAACTTCGTTGAAACATTTCGCTAATCTCTCGAAAGTCGTGAGAAGCAATCTTTCTGTATTCACATAATTCAGTTTCATGTTTAATCTTGTCTCGTTTGTTTATTTCCAGACCACAACGTTCATTAGAACACAACACTGGAGCAAAGCCACAATTTTCAACATGTCTTTTAAGGTTTTCAACATTTATAAATTCAGGACAACCACGACTGGCGTAGTCGCAGTTGATCTTTAACTTTGAAATCATATTATTTATAACACGCGCTGGATGAAGCGTAGTTACAGTTAAATCATCTTGACATTGAGGACATCTTTGTGCATTAACTCGTAGATGTTCTTCAATACATTCACGACAAAAACTGTGTTGATTATGGCACATTCTGGCATCTTTCATGACATTCAGACAAATTGAACAGTAAAAGTTTTCATCAACAACAGTCTTAAATCTCGATTCTTCATATCCACTTTCGTAAACATTAAGACGACAAGCCATTTCATACGTCTTCCTATACAATTTAATGCCAAAATTAATACAGGAGTTGACGAAATTTTGTTTATCACTAAAAGTTCAAGCTAAAAGATAGGTTAAAATTTTCAGTCGACGTTTGATAAACACGGAAGCTGAAAGCGAAGCATAACAACGCCTAGTTTTATATTTTAACATACTTATGTTAAGCAAAACAAAGACAAAAGATAAAACAAAATAATGCAATGAAGCACATCAACAAAAAAAAAACACAACTGAGGTCAAAGTTTCTAAGGTCAAAGAAGTGGAGCTTTAGTCTATCACATAAGGCAGTTCGTTCTCGGTGAAAAACATCCCAATTGAAGGTTATTTGTTGTAGTAAAATTACGTCTTTTCTTATAATGCAGAATTAACGTTAATCCAAGACGATTGTTACGTTTTCAGTTCAAAACTACATTTGTTTAGTCTGAATCACTGGTTAAATTCTGAAACTCGTTTGTTTTGGGTGGCACCCTAAGTTCATTGCATTTCTTTATTTGACTGTCAATATTTCTAATCATTTTAGATACGATGATCATATATTTATAACACAAGGAAACATGTTTCAAGACACAAGTAAACATATTTCACAAAGACTGTTGAATCCGATTTGCAAATTAAAAGTTTAGACATCTTTTGTTACTATGTTTTAACAAACAAATTATTGATAACATTCAAAATGCTAAATGGAACTGACAAAAGGTTGCAAGAGTGGGAAAAATGACCATGTTAAGAATACCTTAGGTGATGAGAGATTCCTTTCCTCGCAGTTAGCCTGCAGTTGGCCACTTATCGTCGATTTCAGTTAACTTTTTAAATGGCGGTTGCCAAGTTACTTTCTAATGTTGCCAACTACATTTCCAAACATGGAATATTCGTTATGAACTTGTCAACTTGAGTTGACAAGTTGTGTTCTTGAGTACTGAAGTTGTGAACTTGAGTACTGAAGTTGTGAACTTGAGTACTGAAGTTGTGAACCAAAGTTGCGAAGTACTGGCAAACGCGAAAGGTCTGCGGGAGTTTCTATTTCTGCGGGAATTTTATTTTTGAAGAACTGGCGCAAAATTCTAATATCTCGAAGAAGTTTTGGTCTGTTCATTTTATATTCAGCATTAATTTTCATCATCTGGGGGTTAATGCTTTTATAAATTGGTGCTCACTCTGGCTTTGAAAATTATTAATACAATTTAATTCTTCTTGGAGTTGCTTAATAGTCTCGTGTTTTTGTTTTATCTTAAACTTCAATCGATTTATGTCCGCAGAATATTCGGGATGTTTGTCTTTAAGTCCACAATAAGTAAACGCGGAACATTTTTCAAGAATACACGGTTTAGTTTGTGTGTTTCTGTGACCTCGGTGGTGGCAGTTGCTGCAGATGACTTTGTAATTACCAATCATTGGTAATTCAGGAACATTTAAATTCATTGATTCTAATTTCACGTTCATCTCTTCCAAATCTTGTTTGTTGTGATGAATTGAGTCTTCGATTGTCCTTCGCCGATTTTACAATGAACGTTTAGCGGGTATACTTGTATCCTATTTCAGATAGTTAAACGCAACATTATAAATTTATACATTTATTTTTATTGTGACTACAAAAACAATGACGCACGACAGTATTCAGTTTTAAGAAATATGTCACTTTACGACCTACCTCGTACGAAGCAGATGGATTTTCATCCACGTCAAGACAGCTTTTTGATTGAGATTTTGAAAGTTTTAATAACGGTGACTGCTCCCGCAGCAAATCGAGATGAAATTCTAAAACTTTCCTTGCCCCAAGAGGCAAGTTCGTATTCTTTTAAAGATGACCAAGATTTTCATTACTTAACAATTTCAGCGAAAGTCGTAAAGAAAATTCATTTTCTTTCAAAGCTTTTTCTATTACTTCATGACTTTGTTTCCCAATTTTATCCTTAAAACTATTAAGAAACTCCTCCAATTCATCTGCCATTATCAGTGAACAATTTATTTAGCTTTTACTAACCTACAACACAGACCTATCGCGTTTGCCAGTACTTCGCAACTTTAGTTCACAACTTCAGTACTCAAGTTCACAACTTAAGCACTCAAGTACACAACTTCAGTACTCAAGTTCACAACTTCAGTACTCAAGTTCACAACTTCAGTACTCAAGTTCACAACTTCAGTACTCAAGTTCACAACTTCAGTACTCAAGTTCACTTCTCAAGTTCACAACTTCAATACTCAAGTACAACTTCAGTACTCAAGTACACAACTTCAGTACTCAAGTTCACAACTTCAGTACTCAAGTTCACAGTACTCAGTACACAACTTCAGTACTCATTCACAACTTGACTCAACTTCAGCACTCAAGTACACAACTTCAGTACTCAAGTTCACAACCTCAGTACTCAAGTTACACAACTTGTCAATTCAAGTTGACAAGTTCATAACGAATATTCTATATTTGGAAATGTAGTTGGCAACATTAGAAAGTAACTTGGCAACCGCCATTTGAAAAGTTAACTGAAATCGACGATAATTAGACTTTCTTTTCTGCAAGTTTCTTCCTTTGACCCAGACCACAAGTAGTGAATCTTTAAAATAGTTTAGGCCATAACTTATGGGTTCTATTGAATTACAGGTCAGTGGCAGGAACTAGAGGCCGTAGCCACCCCAGTGCACTATACCTCCATGTGCCCATACATCCATAAGGTCTCCATGTTATTAACTGTCACTGAATCACGTGTTTGTTTCTTTGTACTTCGATGTCTCAGTTACCTGCATTGGCAAAGTTAAGGTAGGTACGCTCTATATTTGTGCTTTTTGTGTTGTACAAAATGTTAACGTTTGTTCAATTGCCTATAATATCAACAGTGCGAGTTTGTTTTTCTTTAATGTGCACCCCCCCCTCCTTCCTTTAAACTTTCTGGTTGGGAATTACTACCCTATTCCTCGACCTAGGTTAATTTACTGAAACCTCGATACATCTTCATTTCATGGAAACAAATTTGGTACACCCATGTCATTTCTACGTGTTATAACTCTCAAACAATGAACATGCTCACGTAAACATGCATAATTACAAAATCATATAGTTACATACTAGATACCTTCTTTAATTCAGAAAAGAACGGATACAGACGATTTCGTCACATTAATTATTATACATTGTATATTCGTACTTTATCCTTAAAATATTCATCAAATGTGCGGATAAAATTGTCATAAGGGTCAAATTTTCTATTACTGGGGAGTGAGAATGAGTTTTGCTGATGAAATATTTGTTAAAAGACAGCAACTGAAGCACTTCTCGACTGTTTAACTCATACTGATGGCACAAAGGTATTAGTTTTAATTTGTATGAATGTACTTGGTAGTGTGTTTGATTAATAAAAGTAGATTTAAACCTTTTCGCTTCTTTGTTCAGGTTTTAACAAGCAACTTGACTTGTGGGGACAAAGTCTGTGTAGTAATTGGTAAAGTTGATGGTTATTGCATAGATACACGTATTGACGACAAGATATATCATGTAGCAGACAACTTGTACATTTCTTCACAAGATGGAGCTTGTAATCTTGAACATTTAAGGCTGCAAAAAATGACTCATATTGTTAATGTTGCCACAGGAATTGTAAATCAATTTCCAAATGTGAGTATAACTTAGATGGTGGATTTCAAATTTTAAACTAGGCTCTTGTGTTTATGTCAAATTTTGATTTTTTCTCTCTAGAGTTTCAGTACAAAACAGTAGAAATTTTGGATTTACCTGACACAAGAATAGATCAGAATTTTGCTGAGCTGTCCTCATTCATTGAAAAGGGACTGGAGGATGGAAAGGTTTTGGTTCATTGGTAAGTGTAAAATGGCAATGGCCATTGATATTCTAAATGAGTGTATTGTGAAGGTTATTATGGTAAGTTTTTAGGTTTTGAAGTGAATGAATTAAACTTTGAATATTTTTATTAGTACATGTTGATGTTTTAACATACTTAGCAATAATTCTTTACTTTGAACTTGGCTTGAAATATGACTACATCTGAGGATGTGAAAACATCAGTCAACATCAACTGAATTAACCTGAATGATCAACACATACAAACATGTAGGTTTTGCTACAGGCTTTTCAACACAATTTATGTTCTTATGGAGGATTTTAATTTGATTACAAAAAACCAAATGCTGAATCAGCATGTTCACTGTTAACTTGTTGAAATGTTAATTGAAGGCTGTGTTTCACATTTGAGGCATACGTAACTTAAAGATGATGGCCATTAAACTAAAAATTGTTGCTTATGCAGCAAAAATTTTGTAGCCAATGAAATGATTTTCCTTTAAATGTCCAGCAAAGCAGGAGTGTCCAGGTCTTCGACTGTTGTCATTGCTTACCTTATGAAATCTAACAATATTGGGTTAGATGATGCATTTCATTTGGTAAAGAAAGCATGATCAACAGCAAAGCCTAATGAAGGTTTTTGGAGGCAACTGAAGGAAAATCATTTATTATTAAGTCAATCAAACACTCCAAGTGATGGAAGAACAAACAAATAATGGTAAACCATTCTTATATGATGGTTGAATATGCACATGAGCAGAGTGAAAGCACCAAAATTAATGGCGAACCATTCCTGTATGGTGCTACAACATGCACTTGAGCCATGTGAAATGAAGAACAAAATATAATGGTGAACCATTCCTTTATGGTGCTACAACATACACATGAGCCATGTGAAATGAAGAACAAAATATAATGGTGAACCATTCCTGTATGGTGCTACAACATGCACGTGAGCCATATGAAATGAAGAACAAAATATAATGGTGAACCATTCCTGTATGGTGCTACAACATGCACGTGAGCCATATGAAATGAAGAACAAAATATAATGGTGAACCATTCATGTGTGGTGCTACAACATGCACTTGATTTATGTGAAACGAAGAACAAAATATAATGGCGAACCATTCCTGTATGGTGCTACAACATGCACTTGAGCCATGTGAAACGAAGAACAAAATATAATGGTGAACCATTTCTGTATGGTGCTACAACATGCACTTGAAATGAAGAACAAAATATAATGGTGAACCATTTCTGTATGGTGCTACAACATGCACTTGAAATGAAGAACAAAATATAATGGTGAACAATTTCTGTATGGTGCTACAACATGCACTTGAAATGAAGAACAAAATATAATGGGGAACAATTCCTTAATGGTAATAGAATACAAAGCTAAACTAAACAATGTAACGCAATAAGGTTATTGTATACAATGTTTGATGTTTCCTGAAATCCAATAGTCATTGAAATTGCTGTTTTCAGATACTTAGTAAACTCAACTTATAACATAACCCTCCCTTGGCTAACTTTATTTTTAGAATTGGGTAGAAAAGATACAAGGTGAATATGAAAAACCATAATAGTCTTTGACATAATGATCTATTTAAGTTCTAATATTTTATCTTTATAAATCTTCAGCTGGAGAGCACAATCTGATTGCTTCCTTTGGCAAATGTTATCACCTGTCATGATTAATCTGTATAAATATTTCCTTTGTTGGGTCAATGGATTTTGCAATTTGCATGCAGGTTGTGTTTCCCGAGGGAGGGTGATAAAGAAGTGTTTCCATGGCAACTTTCCAGCATTATTGATGTGTCCAACAATTGATATAGGTAAGAAAGTTCTATGTGAGACAACATTAACTTTCTTGTTTAAATTCATCCCTGATGTTTGCGTTGGTGTTTTTATATTTTGTGATACCTGTCCACATCAAACTTATCATCACACACCATAAACAGTTCAATGTTCTTTGTTTATATAGAGCCCCTCCAATGCGATTCAATGTTTCTATGGTAACTGCTATGCAGAATCTGTTCAAGTTTTGAGGAATCAGGAAAAGTAACAGGTCTTCTGTTTAAACTTGTGGGAGAAGGTATGGATGACGCTAACACTCAGTATGATCTCATCATCTTTACTCAACATTGTCCCACCCCTTCACTCAACGTTGCTCATTACCTCATCTCCTTTACTCAATATCACCTCGCTCTTACATAGTCATTATTTAATTTCCATCACGTTGTTCAGTGAATATATTTCAGTACTTTTCATTTAAACATTTTTCATCACCTTTTCCCATTTCTATACGTTAAAATTTCTTCCTTCAGGAAACAGCTTCGGTACATTACCAGACCTGAATAAAAAAGTTGTTGAAAGAACGGTTTCATTTGGAGACACGTGTCAGGTACGTAGACTTAATGATTTTGCAACAAATGTTTCTTCTTTTATTCCAATAGTATAGATCTGTTGTAGGTAGGTAAATAAATATACTGAACTGACGTGTTTTGGGGAGTGTGCTAGAATAGGCCACCACAACCTGGAACGACAAAGATAACGAGATATATATATATTTTTATGTTTGCAAATGTCGATCGTCCAGGTTAGTATAGTCCTGAAAAGGACTGTTTTTGTTGTTGTTGACTGACGTTTCGACAATCTTAGCGGTAGTCATCTTCAGAGTAATTTTGACAACCTTAGCGGTAGTCATCTTCAGAGCCATTTTGACTCTGAAAATGACTACCGCAAAGGTTGTCGAAACGTCAGTCAACAACAACAAAAACAGTCCTTCTCAGGAATATACCAACCTGGACGATCGACGTTTACAAACATGTAACGATACTCCCGGGTTCAAACCATTTACTTTATATATATATTTTATTCGTTATCGCCCTCCTCTTCTGCCACCCGTGAAAGATCCCCTTCATTTTATAATAGACATTTTTTTAAAGTTCTCTTTGTCTGTTTTCTTTGAAAAACACTATTATTGCAAGTGGAACCAGGAAGACTGGGGTCTAAACTTTTATAGCTACTGAAAAAGAATATTTTGTACAAAATTTTCCATTTCAGGATGTCATGACGTGTTTTGGTTCACCTTGTAAAGTATTTTATAAAGCTGAAGATAAGGTGAATGTTTAGCAAAAGTTTCAGTAGAGGATTTGACTTAAGAAGCGTTTTTAGTTAGCATTCAAGCAGTTCATTTAGTTGCAAGACGTCTATCAGACGTCTATTTTTGCTATTGTAGAGAAAAATGCGAATTTTAATCTCGGACGTACAATCGGTTGTCCATACCTTCTCGTATTATTTTGTTTATTTGACTATAACTCTGTTTCCAATATCGCTGTTTTTTATTACAACATCTTACCTTATTACAACTGATTAATAATTTTAATGTTTTTTATGTGCATTACAGCAATATCTTCTTCTCCATCTTTTTCTCTAGATGCGTATCCATTCTCCCTATACATACAAACTTAATTAATCAAATAGATCCTTCTATTTCTTCAACTAATTTTACACTTGGCGTGGTAAGTCATGAATTTTATTCTTTGGCTTTTTCTACCTATTCTGTAGTGTTGTGTTGATAAAGTTATGCCTGATTGCAGGCTATATGCATAAGCTCGGGAAACAGGGATAAAACAAGGCATGAATTGAGCCCCGAGGTGCAAAAAGTGAAGAGCGTATTTTTGTACAATGTCTTTTGTTTAATAAATATTTGTTATAACAACGGAGTTTGGTGTTCTGTAACAATTCGGAACAGAGTACATTTTTCTTGATTTCTTTCATTCTTAATTACCTATCTATTATTTGAGACAATAGTCTTCTTCATTCCCATAATTCCATGCATCATAAATAAAAAGGAACATAACAGCAAAAGAAATCATATTTTCCTGATTATTGGCGTAGATAAAACAAAATGGGCAGAATTGTATCAGGAGCTTTGACTTTATTATTGGTAGCTTCTTTTCTTCATGAAAGCAGTGCACTTTCTGCTCAGACATGCAAAAATATTACATCCTTTAAAGAAAAGTGTTAGAATCCTGATTTTATATTTGTCAAAAATCAAATTGTTCTTAAGGGCGAACTCGATGTTAAATTCGAGACTAGTGGACAAAATTTCTCTTGGTATTGTGGAAGCTCGAGAAGAGAAGTGGTTTTGGACAAACCGGCAAATAAAGCACGAGTGTATTATCGAAAAAATGAAGACGTAGAAATATTCATTGAAGATTGTCCCCAGGTTAAGTCTAAAAAATTCAGTGTTACAGCTGGTAAAAGTGTTTGTTACGACGAAAGTTTTTCCTATGCGTGTCCTGGGATAGAAGGAAAAAGTCATCCTTGCAGTTATGAACTAACAATTAACAAAAAAAAACAACTAAAGTATCTCAGGTATCTGTCGGATTGACCCTGAAAATCGTAGCAAAATTCAAAATATCTTTTTCTGCATCAAGGACACAAAAAATCGTACACACTTATGAGTACCAAGAGAAATGGTACTTTGTCGTACCTGCTGGATATACGTTTTGCTCATATAGAAAAGCCACAATTAGTTTTGGAAATCAGTCATACTACTGTTCCGGAACAGACTTCAAATTTGTTAAGTTTGGTACTATTTGCTCGGGGAATAGATTATGTAATAAAAAAGAAAGGTCATGTTTCCATGACGAACACAACATCAGTAACAGGCCAAATTTTCATTTCGCTTTCTGTTTTATCATACTCTGTGTTTTTCTTTTCATCTAATGTAAAACGTTCATTGCCAACACCCACTCATTTATTAACAGCTAATGTGTAGTTTCTAGTATCATAAATATAAATGGACAATATAATGTTTCTGTGAAGAAATGAAAGCTTAGTTTCATGTATAAACACGAGATGTATTTTGTAAACTTACTTTAAGTACGTCGCAAAATCCTTAAGGCATTTTGCGTAAAAACTAGCACAGTAACTATGAATATGTAGTTGATTAGCATTTATGTATGTGTGTGACAATAATAAAGTCATTAGTAAACTCAATTGTCAATTGATAAAATTTGTGCTTCTAGCTGCATGTTTGTGGTATGCAAAATGAAACTGCTGTGTAAACGTCATATTTATTATGAAATATAAAAATTTTTCACTTTTAGTTTTTGCTAACTTGAATGAATTAAGTTCGTTATCTTAAATGAAAGATTTTCAAATAAACTGCTAAGTTTATCCCCTACCTATACGAGTTCCACTTTTTATTAAAAGATTCATTACAGGGAAATGATAGCAATTGCTGATAGCAATTCCATATTTGCAGTATAGTTAATTCAAATCACAAATTCGGATTTGACAAAGTCGATGTCATTTAAAGACATTAGAATTGATTCCACTAGACGAACAAAATGATACAAGATTCAACACTATGAATGCATTTAATTTTAAATCTTCACCATGCAGCAACTGTAAATTCTTCGAAGTAACATTTTATAAAAATTTTGGATATTTTGCTACCGATGTGTACACATGGTATGCAGCCAAATTGATCAGGTCCTAGTCTTTCTCCCGTATACTGTGATATAAATGTAGTTTTGATGCATGGAAACCATTATGAAAACGACTTGATTATGACCGCGCTAAATTTGAGAATTTAAGCGAGCAATGTTTTTGAAATATTTGTTACTTCACTTCAAATTTTGAATATCGGAGCAAAATTTTCTGCCTAAGTTAAAGATATACAGATATATAGAGTTGTAGTGATGGTGAATGGCACCGATAGAAAGCGAGAAGTCCCAAAGAAGGTTGGCAGGCAGAATCAAAGTAATTAAACTGCACATTTTGCCCTATTACGGTATTAAATACATCCATGTCGATTGATGAGCAAGAAAATAAATTGAACGATTATATAGCAGATTTTCTACTCAAAGGTAAATTTGTGAACAAAATTGTGTATTATCATTGACTTTTCATGTAATTATTAAGGATAAAAATATTAATAAAATTTGAAATCAGCTGTTGATTTAATTCAAACCTCCCATGTTGTTATTATTTTCAAAACCGTATTTTGTACCCCGAAGAAATTTTGGAGTACACCCTAAACTGAGGTGTATATCATCAAGATTATGTGTGCTTTGACCTAAAAAAATTTTACATGGTTTTGTCTACAAATAATGCACAAGAATTAAGTCGATACATTAAGTGTTGTTATGGATGAAGTAACCAATCATCCGCTGAAGATGTTTGTGATTTTAAGCATATGTATTTCTATTTCTACAGTAAAGAGCAGGCGTGAATGAATATCAAAATGCATTCAAAAAGCCAAAGCACAGACTGCAAATGCTTATAAGAGTCCAAGCATTGAAGTTGTTAAGGTATTGAAATTATATTGGATTATCTTTTCTTGTAAATGACTTATATGGCTTACCACCATATAAACGCCTGTGTCATACATCAAGAGATAAGTAGGTCCAATGTAAATTAAACCAACTATTTACTTGTCACTTTTAGAGTTGCATGTGAAAAAGAATACAGTTTTTAGTCTGTTACGAGTACTGTATGCTGTTTTGTTTGTGATGAAATAATACAATGTTTGGTATTTTAGGACAAGTCTTTCATTACCTAAGCACAACCAGTGGTGTCTAAACTAGATCCCATCCTTCAAGATCATTGGCATATCCAGGTTTGCAAGTTTTTCCAGCTTTCCTTTGCATCAATATATCATTCCATTTCTTGAAATGTTGTTTTTACCTTTTGAGAATGTACGCCAAATGAAATTTAAAGAATTTCTAAGTGAGCACAGTGTTTAGTCAAACAACCTGGCTGAAAAGATATGCAATAACATTTGCAAATCTTGCTGTTTTTGAGAAATTCTGTTACACCATTGATGTCTCTATAAACTTGGGGCACTGTGTACGTACGTAGACAATCCTTTAAGTCTGTGAATGTGACATATTTGAACGAGCTCATTGATTTGTTCTCTGAAGTACAGAGAATTTGTTCCTGAAAGTGAAATTTGTTTTAATAATTGTAAAACACTTTACTGTCTCCGAGATCTTGTATTTTTAACAAAGACTACATACGATGTGTTGATCTTTGCTAGGTGACCGCGTACATAACAGAGCTTCAAGCATCAGGATCAGTGACTGACAACATGTCTGTTAAGTCAAGTTTAGAATGAACTGTTATAATTTGTGTTTGTCAACAACCATATGTGATGTTTTGTCTTCAAGAGTGGCGGACGCTGAAGGAGGGAGAAAGTCACTATCTTACGTACGTATATTGATAATTTTATATTTGATAAAGAATGAGTAACACAACGAGTTACGACACCACGTAAATTGATCGAAATGATTTGACAAACCTCTCACCCCAACCCTCTCCCGTAGAAAATTTAGTCAATTGACCAGAACTATTTTCCAAAATATATAACCGTTCATTGCTAAGAAGTGTTGTTTTATTTGTTTATAAAACACAGAGTTTTATTTTTTTACTTTTAGATTGCCTTTGTCAAATCTCTCTTGTAAAATCAATAGCTCAGGTAGGATAATTGTCAGTTGTGGTTTACCATGCCTCAAAAGCAAGAGTAAAACTGTGTTCATTATCTTTTATTAAGTTATCACACAGGAAAGACACCATAGCAAACAGCTATCTCCAAGTAATGGTTAAAATACAGAAATCTAAATAACGATCTGTTGTCATAGTTGCGTTTTTAGCTAAAAGTACACTATAAAGATTATGAAGTAGTTGAAGATATTAAGTCAATAATTAAATTAGTAAAGCCTGCTCCCCAGTCACCCCATAACCCGCGCATACTTGTTCTTGATATCCCAATTGCAAAAATTCTTCTTCATACTTTATGTAAATATCGTAATATCAGAGAACGTAAGTATGGATAAAATAGAAAGTTTTATTTATAGATTTTGAAATATGAGCCAACAAAACTTCTACTACAATCTGTGTCGTTATTTTGCTATGAAACTTTACAAAAACTTCGCTCGTGAATTGTTCGTGTTGAAAGTATGAGAGCTCCAAAACCTGGGGAGAGGTTTGTCATTCATGTTACGTAAAGTCTTGTTCTTATCCAAAACTCACATAGCCACAATCACCCTCACCACCATTATCTTTATCACACATTAACCCTCACCATCATTTTTTATCCCAAACCGTCATTACCGTAATCCCGCAATCACCCTCACCACGTCCTTTATCCACATTACTCATTTTCATTATCCGTTCCTACTTAGAGTGATACCCATGACTGGATCACCGCTGACCAATGATGCTGCGCCCTGGGACAACAATGCTCCGAAGGGCATCATAATATTAACAGGTGGTAAGGTTAGTGATTTCATTTTAGTGGCTACCTTTTTGATTCCTAGTATGAATTGTGTTTTATTTAAGAAATAAAAGATGTTTACTGTGCTTGCACAGGCTTATGCAAACCGAAGATTCGTTTGGGAGAACTTGAGAGCAGATCAGTGCAAGCCCGAGACCGAAGATCGAGAGTTGCACATGCTCGAGAGTTCTTACAAACGTCTTCTAGGTTTGCACAAGTCAGTGTAAACACGGAAAATATCTTTTATTTCTTTTATAAAATAACAATATTGCGAAACAGAGGAACATTTTAATTTTTCCTCTAAAATGTATTCATGATCTATTTGCAAATTCTCATTGACTGGTTGATTGTTATGATTGATTTGATTGGTAGAGCTTAGACGTGTTTTGCACAGGCTAATGCAAACACAGCTCTAGACCAATCAGCACACGTGTTTCATTGTGTTTATTTTATAATGTTTGATGAAAGACCGCCGTTGTATGACAGAAGTACAAAGACTCTCATACACACGGGAATTCTAAAATTTTAGACACCGTACCTAATCACTGGAGAATATAAGTACTAGATATTTCTTCATACCAACCTACATGGAATTTGAATTTTTGAAATATTTTACATGACTAACTGCTAGTGATTTGGTCAACTACCTGCAAATTAGTAAGGGTAGAGTACGATCATGTGATTGAGAGACCCTCGCATTAGATAAAATTTCACTTACTCGGGCACCGTCTTAGAACAATGCATGGCCAAAGCCAGAAGGGATTACTTATGATACTGAATTTAAGATGCTGTATTCTTATACAAGTATCTTTAGTTTACAGCTGATGATTGTTTTCAACGAGTATTTGAGATGTGTTCCATGTAAAGGCAGGTTTTAGTTCAAAACCTCTCGAAAGTTATAAGCCAGGGGGACATTGGATTGGTATAACTCACAACCTGTTAATTTTAACACGTTCTATAAATATTTACCAGCAATGTGCGAGGTAGATTACATTGACATGAAAGGTTGAGGATTTTCAAATGATTTTGGAAAGGTTACGTGCCCAACAACCCTCTAAGAAAGGAACATTTTCATTGATGAACAAACAATAATGTCTCGGACTGATTATCGAAGCACATCATTGTTAGATGATGCAAAAGGCCAAGTTCTACTCTGGTTATGTCAGTTTTAAAAGCACTTCAACAACCTGCTCCAGTGGATGTTTCAAGTCCAAAGAAAATTGAGGTAGATAAGAAGAAAGAAGCATGTGTTGGTACGACAAATACACGACGTAATTTAAAAGTTATTGAACATGGGAAAACACGTATGTTGTTTCATTTTATGTAATACACATGTGTTTGCTTTTAACTTTGAGAGCAATTATTAGTTTTTCCAATTTTTTCGTAAGAGATATTTTAATTTTAACATGAATATATTTACATCATCGAGATGCGTTAGAAACGCGTTAAATTTCATCACCTTGTTAGTTATTCAGAGATGAAATGTAATGTGGAGTTACGACAGTCATTAGTATCCTTTAACCTCATTAGTATTTTCTATTTAGAGGATACTAATAAAAGTGAACAATAAAAACAATATCTTGTTAGTATTCTTTATATATCGATTAAAAATGAGATTTAGTGAATACCATTAAGCTTTAATTGTATTCCATTGTTTTCACTCTATCTCCGCATTTTCCTTGAGCTTTAAAGCTTACATCACTTCTTGAACTTTAGCCACTATGCCATATGGAACATCAAAATACTGGACGCTGATTGGCCGAGTGACTTTGGCTGTGTTCTAATTCTAGATATCTGTAGATATGACGTCATTACTACGAAAAATTTTTTCTACCATTATTGACTGACGCCATTAAAAGCCGAATTTGAAAAAAATCAAATAAAGTGATGTTTACCACAGTTTCTAAAAACAATAAGCGAAAGATTTCGAACAAAATTGATGCAGAAAACACTAAAAAAGCGACGAAGCTGGTTTCGAACATATTTACAGCATATTTAAACAAGAAGAACTCGAAAAAACCGTTTGACAATTACAACTAAGGGCAGGTTTCGAAATGTTTTACATTGATGAGTGTAAATAATATTTCAGTTTGTTGAGGTGAATGATAAAACAATTATTCAATTCGTTTTTCGCATGATATCAACAATTATTCATACCTCTGTCAACGTTATCCCCACCCCCAGCTTTGCTTCGGCAGATGACATTGACCTCGGTCTTAATAATTCTAGATATCATGCTCAACTTCATCTAATAACTGTTCATTATTTAAATATTAACTTGCTAAACTGAGGGACATTTTGCTGGTATATTTGTGTGTTATAATCTTTTCGTCCGAGGAATATTAAATTTCACTGTGTAGCACAAATCATTGACTGTCCCACTATCTTATAATGGTTTAAATGACAGAAAAATTACAGTCCATCGAAATGAAAAATATCAAATGTAGCCAAAACGCAAAACAAAATAATGAAAGCCAAAATGTACTTTTTTGCCGTACAAAAACCAGGTTACAAACCCTAAACATGGCGACTGTATTATTGATGACGTCACGTTCCTCTCAAGAATACAAAGTTCTCAGACATAAAATTTCCTCGTTATTTTGTTGTCTGAGAGGAAACTGGAAAGGTGGCAAAATTTTCAATCTGAAGTTGCATTAACAATTTGTCATATGTCATTTTAGCCAGTAAATAACAAGAAACTTATCACGTGATTTCGTACAAGTATACTCGTCGTAGGTGGTCAAAGTACAGTACACCAACAGCTAATGGTGAAGTTTCCTCATTCTTGTAATTTTACCATGCATATAAAGTATGTCACGTTTTGAATTTTGCTGCGTATAATAATAATGGCAGTACTAACGAAAATTGATATCCAGTTTGGTGTAGTCTTAAGAAGTGATTGAATGTTGGTGTTATTAGGGTAAACCTACCACTAGTAGGTGCCCCTAGTGCGCATGTGTGAACGCTACTTATAAAACATATTCACGTAGGGTGACTCGCTTTCTAGGATAACCCTTCTGCTGGGGTTACCGTACCTCCATGTAAATAGTCTCTAAGCAAATTGCTTTTGTATATTTCATGGGAAATAGTCCAAACAAATTCAACGCATAATTTAATAATGATGTGAGCAAAGCCATGTAATATATTTGAAAAATGCCATTTATATAAATAACATGTAAATATATAATTCTTAATTGGTGACCAAAGTTTGTGATAGACATGTGCTGTATATAGTATTTTATGATACAACTTGCAATATACAGTATATATATCATTAAAGTGAATCAGTGGAGAAATAATTTCTCAACAGGCTTTAAAGGTTTACACATTTAACTTTACATATTTATCATCCAGTGTAAGCTACAAGAATTTTTAGTAAGTTATAACGTTTGATGAACGTTTTCTTGCTTATACATACTTTTGTCCAAAAGGTAAAACTTCGGCTATGGACAAGTGTCGTGGCTCGTTCATTGAAGGAAGATATTTCCATGAAGAACTACATCCCATTTTGAAACACTCCACTGAATTAAGAACATTACCTTTATCACCCACACCTCCCATGACAACAATTGTATCGTCTGTTATAACTGCACAACAACAGGATCTCTTTTCCAACATGGATGGTAAGACTGTAATCTTACCTGTCTTAGTGTCATACATGATAACACTGTTCAAACTTTTTCTTCCATCCCAACCTCCAAGAAGAACAACTTGCTCTCTCCATTGAACTGTAGCCATTGCACACAATGGATGAGGTAATGGAGGCATTTCCTTGAATGTAAGAGTCCTTGGATCAAATTCCAAAACACTGGACAAAACTTTGCAATTTCCATGTCCTCCAAAAATAAGAACTTTATCATCAACAACAACAGCTCCATGGCCATAACGTGGTTCAGGCATATGACACAACTCTTTTAAAACATAAGATGTTGTACCTGTAATTTTTATTTCACTGATCAAATCTGATGGTCCTTTGCCTTTAATGTATCCTCCAATGTGAAAGATTTGTTGTTTATAAACAACAGTTTGATGACCGTCACAGTCATAAGGAAGCTCTGCAGGAAATTTTCTCCATGTCAAAGGAAACTGTTTTATATTCAATGTCTCCATTGACTTGCAGTGATATCCTCCAACAACAAATAAATTATCATTATAAATAAATGATGAAGCCTTGCTGTGTTCATTTTCCATTGATGCAATATTAAACCATTTCTCCTCCTTCCATGAAAATATTTCAGCACTCTCTGAGGAACCACGTGAGTAACCTCCAGCAATCAAAATATCACCTTTTACAGAGTTCATCACCATTTCAGTTGGTGATGTCAATGTTTGAACATGTTGTTCATTTATATTCATCTTTTCCAACATTTGAAATATCATGGCTTTCATTTCTTTCATTTCTTTGGTCACTGTAGAAAGATTTTGTTGAACATCTTTTATTTCTTTCCTTGATTCCATCATTTCTTTGGTCACTGTAGAAAGATTTTGTTGAACATCTTTTATTTCTTTTCTTGATTCCATCATTTCTTTGGTCACAGTAGAAAGATTTTGTTCAACATTTTCTACTACAGATTCCATCATCTGTAGTAGAAAATGTTCTTTTCTACTGAGATGTCAATGGTTTCACGGAATCTTTTACTTCAAAAAATTTTTCGTCTATTTTCCTGCTTAAGTTGTTCATTTGCATTTCCATTTTGTCTTCAAAACTTCGTTGAAACATTTCGCTAATCTCTCGAAAGTCGTGAGAAGCAATCTTTCTGTATTCACATAATTCAGTTTCATGTTTAATCTTGTCTCGTTTGTTTATTTCCAGACCACAACGTTCATTAGAACACAACACTGGAGCAAAGCCACAATTTTCAACATGTCTTTCAAGATCTTCGACATTTATAAATTCAGGACAACCACGACTGGCGTAGTCGCAGTTGATCTTTAACTTTGAAATCATATTATTTATAACACGCGCTGGATGAAGCGTAACTACAGTTAAATCATCTTGACATTGAGGACATCTTTGTGCATTAACTCGTAGATGTTCTTCAATACATTCACGACAAAAACTGTGTTGATTATGGCACATTCTGGCATCTTTCATGACATTCAGACAAATGGAACAGTAAAAATTTTCATCAACAACAGTCTTAAATCTCGATTCTTCATATCCACTTTCGTAAACATTAGGACGACAAGCCATTTCATACGTCTTCCTATACAATTTAATATCAAAATTGTAGTACAGCTGTTAATGAGAAAATTTTTCACTTGAATGATACATGGGTAAAACTTTCTTATAGTCTTACCTTGCCTCAAAAGACAAATTTTGATATAGGGCTATCAATTGAGTTCTATTAGACTCAATGGGGCTATCCCATATTTTACATTTACAACGCGTTCTGCGCATGTCGTGTTTGATGACGTTACAGTAGTAAAAAAAAAAACAAAAGTTCTGAGTCATCGCAATTTCTTCGTATATTCTTATATAGCAGCTAAAGACGATAGAAAAATTATATTACAACTTTTGCTTTTGAGGAAAACATTCTGAAATATTCTACATTAAAGGACACATGCAAGATAGAAGACAACTTTATTTTATTGTAATGCCTACGGCGTGAAAATAAAACGTACCAAGTTTCAAAGTTGTCCGCAAAATATTTCAAAAGATATTTAGGGTTATAATCGATAAAAACACGATGTTCGATGACCATTGCTAAAACGCCGTGAGATTGTTGAAGTCTGGGAACTGGGAATGAGTGACGTAATAGTTGACATAAACAAGCATTTTTCTTATATCGTTCTACGACTAGCACAACTTTCGGTAGTTTGCTATTAAGGTAGTTTGCTAGTTATTTATTTTTTATTTAACAAAAATTAATGGATTCTTCTTTTGAATAAGCCGATTATGATATTTTCATCAATAACAATGAGGTACAACCTTGCATGTTTGAGCCTTTGGCCAACGCGCAAGGTGGTCATAGTAATGACAATTCTCCGTCATCGGAAGATGAATACATTCACAGATTTGGAAATGTTGAATGGTTAGTTGCATTTTATTGATGTTTCATTGTTTTTCCCAAAGTAAAAGGAATGTTTTTATCTTTTAAGTGCGAGTGTGGCTTTTGTGTGGTCATGAGTACAGGACGGGAAAGTATATGTTGCCAAGAGGTAAGCAACACTGATCCTCTGATACATGGCGATCATATTTGCATCACACAAGAGGAAGAGTTTGCCACAGTGTGTACAAACGAAGCTGTCGTAAAAACAGTTATGGTCGTGTACACACATGACATTGGACCTATACCTGAGAGCGAAGAAAACGAGTAAATATTACCTTAGAAGTATAATTACGTGTATGTCGAGAAGTGTATAATGCCGATAAGTATCTTAGACAAAATTTTGTATCTTTCAAGAAACATAACGCTACACGTTGTACCGACAGTGGACGGCTTGGGTGCATGGCAAGTTGGGAAAAAAAGTACAGACTACCCATACCTTCTTGTGCTGGAGACAAAATCCGGAAAGCATTTCCTTCGCCTTCTGGAGAATACAAAGGATTTGAATATGCTCAACACTACTGAATGGTAGGGCTTATGGCGTATGACAAAGTCTGTTCATTTGTAATTATGTTTATTTCATGTGGAACGCTATTTCTATTATCTTTTATATATAGAAGCGACATTTATGTTGCTTAAAGGCTTCAGCTTTGCTGATTTTGATTTGTGGCAAGTCAATGGGACAGGTATTTCTTTCACTCCAGACATGAAGAGCTTCGGACAGTGTTGGATTAATGCGTCTGCAGTACAAAACTTCTTTCATCAAGTCCTTAACATATCCTGAAAAGCAAATCATTATTTATGTTGGCTTTGCATTGCACTTTGAGAAAAGGTAAGTTTATTTTCTGTGCTAACCTTAAGTGCTGTCAATTTTCACTGGTTTGATATCCCTTGCCCTTCTTTTGAATTTGAATAAGCCACTCTCCAAATCAATTCCTCTTCTGTTTCCCATCATTCTTCATTTTATGAGCTTTGTTTCCATTCTCATTGAAATGAAGAGCAGCAATAAACAATCTAAAATGAATGTTAAGTTTATGTTTACAACTATTGCAACTTATTGCTTTTGCAATGATGACTTTTAAGTAATCATACACAAATCATTTTATATTACCTTGCTTACATTGATCTGTAGAAAAATTAAGTATGTTTTGGTGCAAAAAGAATTACCACTCGGTGGAAACCTTTGATGGATGAAGTCTGCTTTTGATAACTGAGTTTTCCATTATCTGTCATGAGATACTTGGACTCAACAATCGAAGACAGCTCAACATAAGCTTTTCAACCTAAGATCAGAAGTTAGTTAACAAAAAAAAAGAATGTTGATGTTACTTTGAAATTTATTGCTTACAATACCTTTTTTTATCCACATTCTAGGCTCTAACATATCATATTCACATTTTGGGAATACATCACTATGTCCCTCATGGATGTCACATATATGGTTGAGAACTGACAACCACTTTGCCTTGACAAGTTCTTCATCACCATTGCTGGAAGCAGCACACCAGTATACATGGTTGGAAATTGATTGGGCCCAATCTGACAATAATTTGCAACCACTTTTTTTTGATGCTGCCCAAATGTTCTTTTTAATTCCTGTTGGATTTTGATTATTGATGAAATGTGTAAAGGTTGGTTTGTTATTACAATCTATACCTTTGCTACATGCCATACATCAAAGTAGTGCTTGATTTTTGGTCTTTGTTTTTTCATGTAAGATTTGATTTGAGCATGTCTGTCTGTGGTCATTGACTTCACCTTCATCCCACTTTCATCAAACTTTGCCAGACATCTTTTTAATTCCTCAAGTTCCATTGCTCCAGAGTTGGTCACTTCATTGGACTGTTTAACATAATTATGTGAGTATTCTAACCATGTTTTATGTACAGTTGTTGAAGAATTGTTACCTGAACAAGTTGTGTGTCTAAAATGTTGTTAGATTCAAAATCCATGCAGCTATATGACCCATACTTGGCACAATATCCAGGAAATCACATCTTCCATCTCTTCCAAGGTTAATGTTTCTTTTGTTAATTTATTATTAAAGCAGAAACAAAACAACATATATTTAATTATTTAAGTTACATAATGAGCGTTGTCCTAAACCATGCGGTATCGAGCAGAACAGAAGATAACAATTAGCATACAATAAGAAGTGCTTACCAGATCATGTGACTAGCACTATGATCAGATATCTTATACTTAGTTTAATACACATGTGACGTCATTTAAGGAACACAGACTGACTGCCAAAACAACTTACACTGTTTATGGCATGTAAACAAACACAAAAATGCCAGATCGATGTGTAGTTTTTGGTTGTTCTAACGTAGCCAGTTCGGAGAAAGGCATTTCACTTCATCGCATACCATTTTTTAACGACGAAAGAAGCGAAGCTAAGCGTAGGAGAAAGCGATGGGTCAACTTGAAAGCTACTCGCGATAAGTGGGTCCCCACAAAGAATTCCGCAGTTTGCTCGGAACACTTCACAAAATATTTGTTTTCTTGGCAATTCGGCTCGCTTTCTGAATCAGAAAGTAATTTTGCACCTCGACTCATTCGAGACGAATTCGGAATCGTTGCTTACCCAGGCATTTATCCTCGAAAAGATGACAATGAACTTACAACAAGAGATCGCAGAATGGTGAGTACGTTAAAAATTATACATATGCATATCTACATTTTACCTGGAATCTGTGTGAGAGTATATTTCATAAATATATGCCATTTTAGATGAAAAGAAAGTGGATGTCTGATTATAAAAGAGAGGTTGAATCAGAAAATATTCCCAGTATAAGTAGCGAACCTCAAGAGCAAATAGAAGAAATAACTTGTGATGAGCCTGTATTATCAGAATGATCAGCTACTCTTTTCCTGAAATGTTCTGCAGGTAATCTATGAAACATGTGTGATGAAGCACCTATGTATCATTACAGTTTTTATTCCCTTGTGAAATTTCTCTTTCAAGAAATTGAATGCAATTTTATATTTCATGAAGGCATATCCTTGTTGTAACTCACTTCGAAAGCAATTTGGAAAGGGATAATCAAGAGATTAATGGAGTTCCCCAGGTTAAAGTGCATTATTCAAAATTTATAAATGGTGAAGCTGTTGTAAGAAATGTGAAAGTTGCTCAGGATTTTGGTAGGGTTATTTAATATATTTCTCCTACTGCCTGATTTCATGTGTTAAATGCCATAACAGACAAAGCCATAATACGAAATGATTACCATAAAATAAAATTTTGAATAATTTGCACATTGCTCCTCCAGGGTATGTTGTAGATATATATCAAGTGTTGTGCTCTGCACTCATTGATGAGGAAACATTGAGAAAAGCCAAAGGTGATCTTTTACGAATGACTCCATTGCCAATGAATTCCATGTTGGACAAGCAATCAAAAAGTGAAGCTATCTCAAAAAAAGCAAGAAGACAAAGCATGCCAGCTGTACATTTCCCCCCAACTAAGCCAGGTTTAACAAAAAGGCATTTTTTGCTTTGAGATAATTTGAATCTTATTATTGGAACTGACTCACTTTATTGTTTGATATAGCTGAAGTATCACCTGTCGAAGAAAAAATCACTGATCAGAGAAAGGAGAGAGCAGCACCTCGATGCACTGTGTGCAAGAATTGGATGAAAGGCCATAAAAATATAATGAACTGTCCAAAAAACCAAAAGTAACCACTTTTTTAGGAGCTGGTGGTATGAGCCCAGTTAGTTGGGATTCAGTGAAGTGTGAATTGACTGCATGGAAAGAATAAAAAGAAAAGGAATTGTAATTTTGTATGTTTTGTATAACAAGAATGAGTGTGAATTGAAGATGCAATACATCAAGAGTGGCTTAAATCATTCCACACTTCACTGGATCCCTACTAGCTGGGCTCATGCACACAACACCTAGAATAATATAGAATGTTATGTTATTTTACAAATTGTCCTCTTCATACCCTGCAAAGTGTTCATTTTTTTTAAATTAAAAGTTTTTCAAATAACATGATAAGCACAAGCTGGAAGTGGAATTCTTTTGTCTCGAAGAATGCCATGTACCATTCTTGTAAATTGCCTACATGCAACAACTCGAAAAAACCTGAAAAGGCATAATACACAAGGTCCATTAAAAGAGGTAGGAGTCCATAAAATACAAATTTTGCAAGTGTGCATTCATAGATAACCCAGACAGAAGCATTTAACTATTAATTGTAACAAACCTTTGCTCCAAGAATCGTTTACGATGTCTAACTCCATCTCGTCTTTGGTAAAGATTGGCAGCTAAATTTAATGCCCATCGATTGAGGCAAATGGCATCAAATCCTGGATGCTCTGTGATGCATTTTGGCTGTCTTCCTAACTCGGATACCACCAAATGATCTTGCATTTCAATCATGCAATTGATAATTTCGTGGCAACATCTACATTCTTTTGAATTAACCAAGAGAGGAACACGGCAGTTACCACAATTGCACCTAAGAAAGTTATCTGTCAAAAGCTTCGGCAACAATAAACAAATTTTCCAACTTTTCTTACCAAGAATCAAGAGGAACTTCATTTTGCATTCTGCGTTCGAGCTCTTCTGTTTGGCGTCTTTGTTCTTCTGTATCTCTATTATAGTTTTCTAACCACTCATCAGCAAATGGTTCGTTTTCATATGCTGCAGCTTGGCCGTACTCAAAATCGCCATCGGTGTTTTGGAGCGCATTTGATGACGATTGATCTTCGTCTTCTAAATCGAATTCCCGACTGTTCAATTCAATATTTTCCGCTGTTGTTGCTGTACTCGACTCAGAATCGGATGTCGACATGTTTTGTACAATTTTTATTTTAATTTCAAAGCAATGTATAAAGAATTGTTATTTCACACAGTGTCGTTTTGTATCATAGATATAGTAGGACTATATAGTCCTACTGTATCTATGTTTTGTATGCAGCGCATTCATACGTTCCTTAAATGACGTCACAAACCTCTCGTTTTAAGTCCCCTAAGAGGCGCGGAAATTTCTCAAAAGCAAGCCAATTCAAACCGCCAAAAAAACTTTGTTTTTATTTTTTTATGAAATTTTCTTCGAAATCATATTTTCCACAGTCTAAACTTTAAAAGTTCAACGAATTTGGAAAGGCTGTATGTGCACTTTAACTCATTTGAACATTGAGAGTCTGATCCATTGTAGCTATTGCTCATCGTCGACGTGCTTTCTGTATCACACCATACAGCGCTATCCTCAAAATGTTCAATTTCACATAACGTCGTCTGTGTGCTGTGATTTTTTGTTTAAATTAACTCAACCTCCCTACCATAAAATTATCGTATTGCTGGATTTTTCACAAAAATCAAAACGGCCGAAATGGAAAGTCTATACCTCTACTTATCATATTTGGCACTTTTGTAAGTTTTGTTTGAGTGGTTCTTGACCTCACGTGTTTTTGCGGAAGGATTGTTATGTCTGCTTAGCATTTCACATTGTGCTTCTAAGGTATAAGGAATTTTATATGAGTTAAAATAACAAAGAAAAGATTAAACGACATTAGTCTGAATTAGTTACCACTGTATTTGCTTGTGTTTCGCTGTCTACATATATTTTGACATCATTCATCTTAGACAAACTTCCTTTGAGGTAAAACGCACAAACATTTCGAGCCGATGTCGACACATCGTGGTCGTCGTCTACAAGAAAGTCGTCATGTTCTGCAAGAACGTCGTTAATAATCTAAAATTATAGAATTGTCTTCAATTTGGTAATGCTATATAGCTTAGTTTTTGATAAATGTAAACAAATATTGCTAACTATAACTATAATATTCACCTCTTGGCTCTTGCCTTCGTCTCTTCTCAAATGCAGTTCTAACATTTGTTGGCTGCTTCCTTTTAGATGCTACACTTGTGGGTTCCACAGAGTATTCAAAAATCGTGGGTACAGCATCCTTCTTAAGGCGAAGCCGTCCTGCTGTCCATCCTACTGATTGCAACGCTTCAAAATACTGCACGAAGCACGAACTCTCGAAATGTTGCGAGCACAATTTTGAGCTCTTTGTTGGCTTCCAATTTTTGCGTCGGATTTTTTCAATCCAAATATCTCGCATGCGCTTGTTTTCGGGAAACGAAAAAAAGAAACCTTTTGCTGCGTTTGGTGGTTCTTAGAAGAACCGTTTTTACAATTAAATGCGGCGCAATAAACCATATTTTCAATGCTAAATTGTCGTGTTGTTAAGAAGTTACCAATATATTTTGAACGAAGCGCGCAATTGACCGCGTTTAGCTAATGTCAACTATTACGTCACAACGACATCGGTAGCTGTCGCTAGCTCGTCGGGCATTTTCAATACGTTATCAGTAAAGCATCAACTTTAAACCTCCATATCTTCAAAAATATTTATCCTTTGAGTCTCAAACTTTGGTGAACTATTAGTTGTAGCTATACCTTCATGTAAAGTACAAAAATAACAATCCGAATTTTATGTTGCATGTGTCCTTTAACCATATATGATGCAGATGAGCAAGTAACTTCAACTAATAAAGTGATGAAGAAAGCGTTTGGACGAGCAGGAACTTTTATTCTTAATGCCCATACATTGGCTATTAAAATGTCGAACTGCGGTCACTAAAGAGACCAGTTAACGATAAAGAAGCACGAATCGAAATCATTCAATACTTGCGTACTTTTGATTTGATCTCGAACTTAGCTTCACTTCCATTCATCACTGATAAAGAGCGTCCAAAATTTCAGCGCACATTGACTTGAAAGAATGCAGCGAGCAGTCTTGATCTGGAACATTCATTCATCTAAATGTTACGAGAGCTGTGACATTTTGCAAAACAATATGAATTCCATGCTTGTAAATGTAGATTGTCCAGGTTGGTATAGTCCTGAGAAGGACTGTTTTTGTTGTTGTTGACTGACGTTTCGACAACCTTAGCGGTAGTCATCTTCAGAGTCATTTACTTTAGTACGAATTCCGTTTCGCCGTTTGCCAACGTGTCACATATTTCGGCATTTCATAAAGAGCACTAGATATTGCCCATAGCAAAACAGTAATTTCAATATGAATAACTAACAATACAGACAAACCCTCGTGAGTGATGACAGCGGTAATTTTATCGCAGATCGATAAATAACTGTTACATGAAGTCTATACTTAAAAAAGTGGTACCATAAACTGCGTAACATGAAGTACATGAAATGATACAAGGTGTTTGAATATAACAAGGATGAAACGAGAAATCACTTTTAACCCTCTAGAAACCGTTGCTGCCCACGAGCAGCACTCACCAAACGAGATGTGTGCAAACTTTCGAAAATGTCCGGCTTCTAGAGGGTTAAAGCGTTAATTCAGTTATTGTTTCCATGCTGAAAGATTCCAAAAGATTCAAAAGTTCTTCCATCAATGATTCGGCAGATGACATTGACCTCGGTCTGAATAATTCTAGATATCATGCTCAACCTCATCCAATAACTGTTTATTATTAAAATATTAACTTGCTAAACTGAGGGCATTTTGCTGGTATATTTGTGCTTTATAATCGTTTTTCCGAGGAACATTAAATTTCACTGTGTAGCACAAATCATTGTGACTGTCCCACCATCTTATAATGGTTTAAATGATAGAAAAATTACAGTCCATTGAAATGAAAAGATTAAATGCAGCCAAAACGCAAAACAAAAATGAAAGCCAAAATGTACTTTTTGGACGTACAAAACCAGGTTACAAACCCTAAACATGGCGACTGTATTATTGATGACGTCACGTTCCTCTCAAGAATACAAAGTTCTCAGACATAAAATTTCCTCGTTATTTTGTTGGCTGAGAGGAAACTGGAAAGGTGGCAAAATTTTCAATCTGAAGTTGCAATAACAATTTGTCATATTTATGTCATTTTAGCCAGTAAATAGCAAGAAATTTATCATGTGCTTTCGTACGAGTATACACGTCGTAGATGGTCAAAGTACAGTACACCAACAGCTAATGGTGCAGTTTCCTCATTCTTGTAATTTTACCATGCATATAAAGTATGTCACGTTTTAAATTTTGTTGCGTATAATAATAATGGCAGTACTAACGAAAATTGATATCCAGTTTGGTGTAGTCTTAAGAAGTGATTGAATGTTGGTGTTATTAGTGTAAACCTACCACTAGTAGGTGCCCCTAGTGCGCATGTGTGAACGCTACTTATAAAACATATTCACTTGGGTGACTCGCTTTCTAGGATAACCCTTCTGCTGGGGTTACCGTACCTCCATGTAAATAGTCTAAGCAAATTGCTTTTGTATATTTCATGGGAAATAGTCCAAACAAATTCAACGCATAATTTAATAATGATGTGAGCAAAGCCATGTAATATATTTGAAAAATGCCATTTATATAAATAACATGTAAATATATAATTCTTAATTGGTGACCAAAGTTTGTGATAGACATGTGCTGTATATAGTATTTTATGATACAACTTGCAATATACAGTATATATATCATTAGAGTGAATCAGTGGAGAAATAATTTCTCAACAAGCTTTAAAGGTTTACACATTTAACTTTACATATTTATCATCCAGTGTAAGCTACAAGAATTTTTAGTAAGTTATAACGTTTGATGAACGTTTTCTTGCTTATACATACTTTTGTCCAAAGGTAAAACTTCGGCTATGGACAAAATCGTGGCTCGTTCATTGAAGGAAGATATTTCCATGAAGAACTACATCCCATTTTGAAACACTCCACTGAATTAAGATCTTTATCTTTATCATTCCAACCTCCCATGACAACAATTGTATCATCTGTTATAACTGCACAACAAAAGGATCTCTTTTCCAACATGGATGGTAAGACTGTAATCTTACCTGTCTTAGTTTCATACATGATAACACTGTTCAACCTTTCTTTTCCATCACGACCTCCAAGAAGAACAACTTGATCTCTCCATTGAACTGTTGCCATTTCTCTCCGTGGATGAGGTAATGGAGGCATTTCCTTAAATGTAAGAGTCCTTGGATCAAATTCCAAAACACTGGACAAAACTTTGTAATCTTTTTCCTCTCCTCCAAAAATAAGAACTTTATCATCAACAACAACAGCTCCATGGCCATCCCGTGGTTCAGGCATATGACACAACTCTTTCAAAACATAAGATGTTGTACCTGTAATTTTTATTTCACTGATCAAATCTGATCTTCCTTTACGAAAAATGTATCCTCCAATGAGAAAGATTTGTTGTTTACAAACAACAGTTTGATGACACTCACATTCATAAGGAAACTCTGTGGGAAATGTCTTCCATGTCAAAGGAAACTGTTTTATATTCAATGTCTCCATTGACTTGCAGAACACTCCTCCAACAACAAATAAATTATCATTATAAATAAATGATGAAGCTTGCCTGTGTCCATTTTCCATTGATGCAATATTAAACCATTTCTCCTCCTTCCATGAAAATATTTCAACACTCTTTGAGGAACCATGTGGGTGACCTCCAGCAATCAAAATATCACCTTTACAGAGTTCATCACCATTTCAATTGATGATGTCAATGTTTGAACATGTTGTTCATTTATATTCATCTTTTCCAACATTTGAAACATCATGGCTTTCATTTCTTTCATTTCTTTGGTCACAGTAGAAAGATTTTGTTGAACATCTTTATTTCTTTCCTTGATTCCATCATTTCTTTGGTCACTGTAGAAAGATTTTGTTGAACATCTTTTATTTCTTTCCTTGATTCCATCATTTCTTTGGTCACTGTAGAAAGATTTTGTTGAACATCTTTTATTTCTTTCCTTGATTCCATCATTTCTTTGGTCACTGTAGAAAGATTTTGTTGAACATCTTTTGTTTCTTTCCTTGATTCCATCATTTCT